TCTTCCAGACCGGCTTTTTCTTTTGAAGTCCTCTGGAACAGCTGGGTGTGGAGGACTCTTCCATCCGTTAACTATAGTTGGCAAATTCATAGTTGACGGAGAAACACTACTGAAACTTTGACCTTTGATCTCATTGGTCGGATTCGGATGAGGTTCTTGATTTGTGGTTGAAGAATGCAGTTTGGTAATGTCATTTGAGTCAGACTGAGGAGGCACCTGTTCAGGTAGCCAGAGCGTCAGCCTGGTGGCAGGGTCCTGACTTACAGCCACTACACCCTCTGGGCCAGCATTGAACTTGCTTCTTGGAACAGAAGAAACTATCACATCAGCAAGATCTGGAAGAGCAGACTGCATGGAGTTTGGGACGTTAGCGCTTTCTTCTTCGGCGATTGAAGGCAGAGTTCTCTCACCATCTTCATCCACAATGACAAAGGGACCAGTGCTGACCACAGCTTTGGCATCTGAAATGACACTCAGCAAGTCTGTTATAAAGTTTCTGTCTTCCATCACCTTCAGACAGAAAACCAAAGCACTTACCACCAGGAAGGTTTTTGCCTTTACACCTTGAGCTACAGCACTCACATGCCTCCAAATCACCACTTAGTTCCTCCCATCTGAAAGGAAAGTTTCATTTATAGGACATTGGTAAAAGAAAAACACATACATTATGTGAATATTGATACCTTGATTCAATCACATTGTAGTTGCAGGATTTAGAGCCTGGGGTGACACCTTGGCCTGAGATCAGCACGCTACAGTGGATATACAACTTGTAGAGAAGAGTACACAACTCAGTTCAGAGAAGATTCAGAGCTGCACATCAGTGCAATCCGTTTATAGAGACTTACCTCAGAAATGAGATAAGACGTGTTCAGAACAAAATTAACCGCATCTGCGCTGTTGGAGGCCACAAACGTCACTCTAGTAGTGGAGGAACCCAGTGGGGTTACACACCTGCAGTAAGCAGTGATATCACAGGCAATCAGAAGGTTAGACATAACAAAAACAGTTGAGATAGACACCCAACTGAAAACTCACCCTTTGTTAAATATGACTGTTTGCCTTGGTTTGGCCCGAGGCTCAGGGAACACAGAGACAAAGCAGGACTGGATGAAAGCCTCTTGATTTATTCTGGTTTTAGCCAAAACCTGAAGATTGACAAGCTGGCCTCTTTTGTAGATATTTGACTCTGCTGCGCTCGTCCAGGACGCTGCAGGAAAGAACTGTGTTTACAAATTAAGCTGCAGCTAAAACTTGTTGTTGGATGTGTTTTATTACTTACGACTCATGGCTTTGATGCTAATGTCATCATTCTCAGGAAGTGCTGTGTCGCTAAACTTTGGAATCTTGTTCAACCTGTAAATACATGGACCTACTGTAAGTATGGTTGGTGACTAGCTGCAGACACTGAAGTAAGAACATACCTTTTTGCAACACAGAACACGTGGACTGCAGAGGGAGTTTCCCACCAGGTGGGAGAAATTCTTCTCAGATTCAAGAACAGGGTGTTGGTGAACACCTCCAAGTCATCCTCCACCTGTAAGATGGTGCAGTTTTGGTAAAGGCTTCATAAAAAGATGCAGAACTGCAACAGAACTTTATGCTCACCATAGGTGTAGTTCCACATTCACCAAAACCATAAGTGAAGACAAATTCATTTGCAAGCTCTCCATTGCTGAAGCAGCCATTGCCCAGCTGTATTTCCTCTCCAGTCAGTTTGAGACCACTGACACTCTTATCAACCAGCACGGTTAGTGTAGATGCGTCACAATACACCTGTACTCTGGGAACATTGAGGAAGGGAGAGAGTCCAGCTAGCCTGTGAAAGTCGGGGGTCCAGGATCGCCAGGAGCTGAAGATTGTGCCTTGCGGAGTAAAATCAAAGTTTCTTCCAAATGAAAAAGGCACTCGATTTTCATAAACTCCCACAACATCCTGGGTGAATCTGCCATTGTGATACAGAACAGACTGAACAGCAATAACACAACCAAGAAACACACATAAAGATATCTGCGTGGTCCCCATCATGAGCCCCAAACAGGACCAACAATTCAGCTCATTCTCTTTGACAAGTGCATCATTAATAAGGTGCAGCGATAGTGGAGACAGGTGCTGGCAATCAAGCCAATGAAGCTGACTGGAAATGATTCTTTATTCAGTGTTAACACCACGGCAGGTGGATGGGACACATCTAAGATGCTGTTAGTGAAAAATGCAAAAATAAATGAAGCAAAATGTGTATCTTGTTCACATTTGTGGTTTTTCAGAACTTGGTTTTAGAAATCACTCCGTTGAAGGCCCAACCAGCTGCCGTTTAAACCTGTTCTTGAGAACTATTCTAACCAGAAGGCATAAAGACAGGATGGCTTTATATGGAGACGAGCTGAAAAAAGCTAGTTTCAGACAGAGGGACACTGAAGGGCTGCACCAAGGCCCAGTTTAAGATAAGTCAGGATTATTTGGAACTATAAATTATACAAAACTGTTTTAGTAGACTCCAAACACAAAAAATATGGTGCTGGATATAAGAATTATGCCTGTTTGTAAGGTGTTTGTGGGCTTGGTGATAACATGAAAACTTGTAGGTTAAGTCATCTGGCAGGCCATTCCTCGGCTACAATCTGAACAAACCAAAAGTTGTGAAAACTTGGTTAGTTTGGGTTAATCTAATGTCTATAACACCAAAAAACTTGTATTTATGTTACAGAATTTTCTTAGGCAAAAATATTCAAAATTATATATTTCTATTAAGTAGATGAAAGACATGTAATTTAACTCTGGCTTTTCTTCTGTGTTGAGCGAACCTCGAGATTAAAGATTTAAGATTACATGTGTTAGATGTGTGTCGGCACACATGGCAGAAAACAAAATCACACTATAATTCTGGAATACTTTCAAGGAATGAAAGGAGTTGAAGGATAGCACGTAAGAGGAAACTGGTTATAAAAGATTAAAGAAAGACATAAACTGAGAGCACACCACCTTCTGCCTCATCTAGGTGGAGCCATTGTCAAAAAGCTGACTAAGGCTACGTTCACACTGCAGGTCTTAATGCTCAATTCCGATTTTTTGATCAAATCCGATTTTTTTTTCTGCTTGTTCACACTACAAATAAAACGCGACAGCAAACGCGCTCTAGTGTGAACGCTCAAAGCGGCCCGCATGCGCAAAAGATGTCACACACAAGGCGCTCTGTTTAGACCCAGAGCAAACAGTATTGTTTGATTGATGGCCCTTAATATAAAGACTTCGGACTTTACGTTTCCCAATTTTTGCTTTAAGTTATTTTGTTATTTGATAATGTAAATAACCTAATAATGATCCTTATTGCTGTTTTAGAGGAGCGGTGCTTCAAAGGATAGTTGCAGATTTTGAATTTGGGGCACTGAATGTGGTTTTTAATCTGCTTTTTTTTTTTAGCAGCTGACTAATCGATTAAGACCCGATGAATACAGAGCATTTGCCCAACACTTTCTTCTTTTATTTGACACTGGTATTGTTGTGATGGATTGTGCAAAGTCAGGAAAATTTTATATTTGTAACCTAGGTCTCTCCCCAGCAATATAAGGCTTGAGCAGGCAAATGCAGTGCTGTGCAAAAGTCTTGAGCCTCCCTCATTTCTTTACATTTAGCTTCCAAACAGACATTTTTTTCCACTGGGTTTTCTGGAGGTCTTTCAAAGGTTTTCTTTGAACATTGGCCACATTTTCACTCATTTTAAGTCCCGTCCTTGTACCTGACAATTTTTGGAAGAGTGTTTGGTTGTTTTTGTTATGTTTTTTTACATTCGTTAAGACACTTAACACTGACATATGAGTCACTTAAGCATTAAAAAGGGATCTAACTCATAGGAACCAGTTTTTTGTCTACACATAATAGACACGTTAGAACAAAAAACAAATTTAAATTGTAACTTTTGGCTCCTTGTCTTAAAGAATTTTACAGATTGTTCCCATTTCTTTAGTAGAATCTTTGTCAGAGATAAAATATATTCACAGGCATGAAATATTACTTTTGCACAAAGGGATTCCCAGAAAGCTATCAGCTGAAACCTTGGCATATATCATGCAGTCCTTAAAAACTGAGGAAACTGGACAAGAGGAGGACGAAACAGTATCTGAAAGCTATCTGTAAAACACAGTGGAGGTGCTGTCATGTTTGGGGCTCCATTTCAAACATGGTGTGTTTCCCATTAATGGGATTATTAATGTAGAAAAGCTTTTTGATATCTGGAAAGCATCTGATTGGCCACAGCTTCATTTTTTTTAGCATGACAATGATCCCAAGCGCACTAACAATGCAGTATAGCATTATAGCATACCTGAATATAAAAACACACAAAGGAATACTCCCCGGCCCCTCAAGGCTTGTTAGACTTGTACAAACTCTGCTTGTGCCTTATCTGTTTCCATATAGTGTAGTCTACACGTTTTAAGAAGTAGCTGCACTAATTCCCAATTTCCTTGCAAAATATAAAGAAATGAGGGGTGATTCAAGACTTTTGGTCTTGTAAATAACAATTGGCCTATATTCTCATTCTGGGAGAATAGGAAGGTTAAATCCAGGTTTAGTTTTATACTTTTTGCAGAGAATATGTAAGCTACAGTCAACAGCATTCATAAGTATAAGAGTATTTCCCAGCAACAGACAAGGTTTGTCTGAGTCCACTTAAACCTGCCGTTGTGGTAAATAAATTACACAATCATGAAGCACGGTGACATGAGGATTAGCACTGTTGCCTCACAGCAAGAAGGTCCTGAATCCATCAGGGTGTTTCTGTGTGGAGTTCTCCCCGGGTACTCCGGCTCCCTCCCTCCAAAGACATGCAGTTAGTGGGGTTGGGTTAATTGGTAACTCTAAATTGCCCACAGGTGTGCGTGAAGGTCAGTGGAAATGGTTGTGTGTCTCTAGGTGTTAGCCCTGCGACACACTGGCGACCTGTCCAGAGTGTACCCTGCCTCTCCCCCTAAGACAGCCGGGATAGGCTCCAGTCCCCCTGCGACCCTGACAAGGAGGTTAATGGATGGGATCACGATCATGACACTTTTTTAAAATCTAAAAACAATCTAATAAACTATAACAATAGCGTATGTGAATAAAGCTGTATTGTTTGTAAACATATGAATACTTGTTATTGTCTCCGACCGACACTGGAGTGTTTTTTTTGTTTTGTTTTGTTTTTTTAAGGTATCGTGGGCGGAGCTTCCGCTCAGGTAGAGCCCGTGTGTTCCCAGGTGTGCGGCGTTTAGAAGAAACCGACAACCCGCCGAAAAACGGTCGAGTCAGAAAGCTGTCGAGAATGAATTTACAAACGACAATAATATGAAAAACAAAGGAAACAGAAAGACGGGCACAGGTGAGTTAACCTTTCACGTAGTCTGGCAGGTACCGAGCAGGGGAATGTACGTGCTAAAGTTTCTAGGCGTGGTCTGTGCTTTTGAACATGGAGCTCAGTGAGGAAGAGACATAATCAAACCACAGTGTTATTGTTCTATTATAACTTAATATTTTAGTGTTTTTCTCGCCGTTTATACCAGTTAAGAATAATCCACCCATCGTATGGTTGGGTTTTACTATCAGTGATATTTCTTTAGACTTTCCTTGATATACAAGTGAATCTTTTAGATAGCTGTGAATTATTGGATGCTAACAGTTTGGATAGGATAGTACGGTATGGAGCCTGTACCCCTCTAAGCATCCTTTAAAAGTATGGAGCCAAACAAAGGTGAAAGGATTAGCTTATACTTTATCTATTCACACTGGGAATTCAGTACTGTTACTGCTACTTCACACTGTGGTGGGAAAATGTGTGGCAACAAAGGACAAACTGCCAATATTATGACTGAAAACAAGTATTTCAACAGCACCCACCTGTGCGTGAGAGCAGCGGACCATTGGGCCACCTCTGTGTGCTGATAAATGTTTGAACACACCACCCTGAGCTTTGTCTTGTTTGGTTCAGGATTTTCTTACATGGTCTCTAAACATGTGTGCTTCACTCTTAAAACGAGGGACACAGAATAGTGCAGCGTGAGCCTGCTGAGACCTGCAGTCTTACCACAGCTGCAGTATTTTCTGCAAGCAGTGGAAGACATCTTCAGGCGTCTCTGCAGGGGGCTGGGGATAATTGTGGTTACTGCCTTGTTCTCATATTGTGCTAACCGCTGCCCCGCTTCCTTTTTAACTCTGCATAAGCCACGGTAAAGTCTGCACTAACTTCACACAAGGTCTCAGTGTTTCACATTGAGATCGTATTTCAGTTCAGTTCACATTTAATAAACTTGTATGCACACACGTCAAGCTGATGTGCACACAGCTGTCAGAAAGTATGAACTGCTGCACACACAATGCAATGATGATGTAGCTGTTTATCCGTTTCCCCCCTGCAGAGATCATCATGTTCAAAGCTAAGTTAAGCTCATGATTTCAAAATAACATATTTTTGGTTTTGGCTTCCCTCAGGACTATGCTGTGCCAACCTCAAGGACAACAAAGTCTTGATGAAGATGGGGTTGGCGCTGGTGCTGGTGGGCCATGTAAACTTTATTCTTGGAGCACTGGTGCACGGCACTGTGCTCAGACACATCAGTCTGCAACGCCAGGTCAAGAATTTGGTGTACCCCATCGCCAATATCATCGCTATCGTGGCAGGTCTTTTGGTAAGGGCTAGGACTGACAGCTGCGTACTGTTACATACTGCATATTAAAAGGGAAAAAAAGAGACAAAATTACAGAACATATATTTAAGGGTCATTAATGGCTTTATCCTGACCACACCAAAGGGCCAATCCCTGGATTAAACAAACAAACAAACAAACAAACCCATTGAAAAGCTGCAGGAGAAGCAGGTTTACAGAGACAAATTTACAATCAGAAACATGATCAAACCATCACAATGGCACATTCAGTATACAGCTGGAGTGTCCTCTCTGTCACTTGAATGTTAAACTGAATGTTTGAGTCATGTTGCGTCATCTGTCTGAGTAATCATCTTCTTTTGCTGAACTTCTGGTTTTTCTTTAGGGAGGGATCTGTGGAATAACAGCTATAGTCCTATCCAGAAACAAGAAAAACAGGATCCTGGTAAATATTCACTTTGCCAAACGGCTCTTGTTTCCTGGCTGCTGTTAGAACCTGCTTTTTGTTTGTGACTCAGTGCGTGTGTGTGTGTAGATAACGATTTAAATACGTAACATACTTGCATGCAAGCGTAAGCTCCAAACAGGTTTGAAACATTGGATGTGTTTTCACTGAACAATCTGTGCCATCAGCTACATGCTAAATGTCATCTTTTCTATCATGGAGAAATATTTCTATCACTTCCCAACATACACTACAGCTCAAAAGGCTTTAGCCAACTCACACTTCTTTATATTGTGCTACCAAGGAGTGCTCTTGAGCAATACTTCAAAAGTTGACTCTGATCATCTGGACGTAGCGTTTTCAGTCCAGATGAACAGAATCAACTTTTGGAGATTTACTTACCTGGATGATTGAGCATGCATCAAGACTCTTGAGCAATAGTTCTCCAGGCATTCTAAAGCTAGCGTCCAAAGTTGTTTTGTTTTTTTGCTTTGGTTTTTTTGTATCTGTATCTGAAAATTTTCAGATTGTTTTTGAGATTTTTTTTTTTTTTTGTTAATCCACGTAACACTGACCTATATGAACACATTTCAAATTGCTTCTTTAGGAACTTTGTTACAAGTAGCCTGTCACAAAAATCACATAGTTTGTTCCAGTTTCTTCAACTGACTCTATGAAAAATGCTGCAGTTTAAAAATAACAGTTTGACAGGCATAAAATAGCAGTTTTACCCAGAGTGCTGTTGGCTGAAAATTTAGATCTTAGCATATCTTAGCCTGATGTGCAGTCACATCACACACTTTCCATCAGGAATGTGTCTAATTGGCCACAGCTTCATTTGATTTATTTATTTGTTAGCATGACAATAATCCCAGCGCTGTTTTGGCAGTGCAAAAAAGCATACTTGGATGGAAAAACACACAATGGGACATTTTGAGTCATGGCTTGGCCTCCCCACAGTCCCACAAAGCTTTGAATGTCGTTCAAGAAGCCTGGAGAACTTTTCCTGAATAGTACTTAAAGGTGGTCATTTCAAGTATTGACTTTCAAGATCATTCGAATTGTACCAACTCTGTTTTCGTCGTGTTGTTTTTGCAGATATGGGTCCTGCTGGTCTTCAGTTTCATAGCAGGTTTCCTGGCGTCTGCCTCCACCGTGGGCTTGTTAGCTTCTGTGATTACAGCTATTATGTCCAAAGGAAAGGCCCTGCTGTCACAATGCAACGCAGCCGTTCAGAATATTAGCTCTTTTAGCATCACAAACGAATGCCCCTTTGATCCCACCCGTATCTACGTAAGTTTAATATAAACATTCATCTAGTGACCGCACTTCTGATTTGAACTGTTGTGTGGTGATCAGTTTTGCACTTTGTTTCATCAAGGCGACCACCATCATTCTGTGGCTGCCGCTCATCTTTATGTCTGTTGTGGAAGCAGTGTTCTCCTTCCATTGCTTTGCTGCCTGCACTTCATTCCTCTACCTCTGTCCATGCAGGAAGAGGCCACGTGTGAAGAACAGGGTAAGCGACAGTCAGATCATTGTCAGCAGCGTTAGCGGTACATTACTTATTAGGGTCACATCATAGTAACAAATTTCAAGATTTTGTTTCTGTGAGGAAAATGATAACGATAATTTTCTACCTGACATTCTTACAATGATATCTCTCTGTAATAAATATATATTAAAAAGGCAGACATGTAAATGCTGAATAATCATCAGCCAGACGTCACATGTCTAGATTTGGTTGAAAAATACTTTGAAAAGAAAATTTGCAAAGATGTTGAAGATGTCATATCGCCATCTGTGGGACGTCCTTCTTGGTCTCTCTAGCAAGAGAAAGTTTGTGTACAAGAATAGTTTTATTTGATCATTTTAACGACCATGTTTCCTATTCTTATCACTTGTGCCTTCTGTTTGCAGTAGTGTGAATAATATCTCTTGCTTGTCTGACTGGATAACTATCGTTGGTGGAATTAGAGTATCCATCCAGCATACATGTACAGCTATCCTTCTCTGGTTCTGTTTTTACAGTCACTGATCACTTTTGAGTGGCAGCAGAGCAAAGAAGGGAAGCGATGATTAATTTTAGGAAAAAAATGGCATAATTTTAAGAAAACGTGAAGAAATTAAACACAGAGGTTGATGCAGAAATAGCAGCAGACTTTGAGTGTCTCTGTGCGCTAGAACAATATTAAAAACTGAACGTGTGCACTTTGAGCACTTTTCCAGTGCTCATATTAATAAGGTCTCACCTATTTGAAGTAAGGAAAAAAGCCAGCTACGCAAGAAATGTATCGCTGTCATCGTAGCCCTGTAATTAATACCGAATCTGATGCATTAAAATTGTTCTTCCATTAAATTAATATTTGTGCGTAACACAATTTTATTTATTTTTCAGCTGAAGCATCGGTGCAGCGTAATGATCTGTTTTGAACCAATTTCTGCATATATAGCTTTGCAGTAGCTCTAACCAAGAGATTAGAAGTTGACATCTTATTACCACCATGAAGTAAACCTGTGCTATTAATTCTATCCCATCCCCACTGTTGGAAAACATCATGTGAAATCATTCATATTTCAGATGCGGAGATCTGCTGAAACCACACCAGCACTGCAATACAGGGAGACGGACACTGAAGTGGGATCTACAGAGCAGGATGACCTGCTGGACAGCAACACTGCTGGGGTGCAGAGTGACTTACTCTGAAGCAGCTGAATCTAAGAGAATAGGTTACAAAGTGCTGAGCTGCACTGGCTAAAGCGTGGATTGTTACACATTTAATGTATGAAGACAAGTTGACAATAGGGCTAGCCTTTTTATATCAAAATGCATTGTATTCTTGTGTTAAAGAATTAAAACTTTTCCAAACAAAACTGAAAACTACGGGACCTTTTGTTGCTCAATAACATCTGGAAGCTGTCGTCTTTTGTGTTGAACACTTTTACTGATGTTTTTCAGAATACAAATTTATATATACACACACAACAGATGATCTCTGACATGTCTTGCCTCTCAAGTTCCTGTGAGATCTAAGCCTTACACTAAGTCTGATTCAAGCTGACAAAACGTTATCAATATCACAACCCGGGAGCCCCAGAAATCAGACAGATGTCATCGTGGCTGTAAAGGACAGAAACTAGAACCTAAAATATAAAAATATGCTTACGATGTGCCACAAAAGCTAATTGTGAATGTTATGTTCAAGCGTCTCACTGACTTTGGCAGGCAAGACCAGTGACACAACATTACAGAAAAGGATCTAGGGTACCAGCATGCTGTTCAACTACATATTCAAAGGCACAGGACAAAAGTGGGACTGAAATACCTAAAATAAAGTAGCCAAAATATCATGATTTAAATAAATTAAATCCATCAGATATATAAAAGCAGACATTTGCGAAGCCATTTTTACAATGTTGGTCACAAGAGGGGGGGAAAGCAAGTATAAGAGCATAAAAAAACGAAACCGTATACAAAAACAACACTTCAGTCCATTAACAGCAAAGTTGAAAAGGTTTTCTAGAAAAACACAGAACCCGTCTCCATTCTCATGGAGAGAGGTCTCATTGTAAAGTCAAAGTCCTTTATTTGCTTCCACTGCAGCAGTCTTATCCAAACAAAATCTCCGTTCTGATCTGTTGTATTGGCGTCACTGGGTGCTGAGGACCTCAAGGTGTCTTGGATTCCTCTTTTGGCCTAAAGAACCCAGAGTAACAGCGAGTAAGGACATTATTAGCATTCCCACTTAACCACCTCCTGGACAGCAGGGTCAATGTGTGTGTGTGCACTGTTTTCTCACTTTGATGTGTCCATTTTCTCCTCCTCTGGCACCTTCTCCTCTTCTTTGACTTCTGTTAAAAACAAAAATAGCATCAGCCACCCCGAGAGCCATAAAAATCATATTTAAGTGCTCTTGATATTACAGAACTACATGAGATAGGTGAGATGAGAATGAAAAGCATAGATACCTTTTGTTTCTCCCTCACCTTTCTTCTCCTTTTCTTCTCCCTCTTTCTCTCCTTCGGATTTAGTTCGCTTGGCCTTCTTGAAGCTGGCAGCATTTCTGCGGCCTCCTTCACCTTCATCCTCCGAATCAGAGAACTCCTCCTCACAGGCTATCCTCTTGTCACGAGAACGAACTGAGGGGTTAAATTTGAACATGTTACACTCTCCCGTCTGGCAGTTTGAACTGAACTGGGGTCTGTGTGAAGGTTCTTACTGGATACGCGCTTGTTGGGATCCTCCTCCTCCTCATCCCCGCTGTCCTCCTGCACTGCATCTTCTGGAATGGCCTGCATCTGGACACCAGGGGCATGAGGGAGCATCCGCAAGTTCTCAAACAGGCGCTGCCTAGAGGGGAGAAAGAGGATTTTTCAGTCAAAACATTTTCCACAACCTATGTGAGCTGCTCTTTTCCAGCAAGGCTGCTATAAAAACTAAAGAGCTGTTGAGGAAGAGCTTTGTGTATGCCTTTCTTCAATTCTAGCCAGGATACCAGATTTGTGTTCATTTAACAGGCCCAGGTTTCACTCTGTGTGAAACCTGGGCCTGAGTGTAAGCAAACAGACCAAATTGCTGATTTAGGTTCTGTTTTAGGCTACAATGTGTCATTTTGGAACATGTTTTGCTGGCAGGGTGCCACGGGATATTTTTGTTCTATAAAATGTGTCGTGGCTCAAAAAAGGTTAAAAAATACTAATTTAATCTATTTTCATGAGCTTACTTGATCTTCTCCAGGTAGTCGTTGGTGTTCTGATTGGTCATGTTGGAGGGGCTGATGTGCAGCTTGAAGTCTGGCCCAAAGTACTCAAAGTAGTCGTTGTATGGAAGCTCTGTGAAGCAAGTTTTATTAAAAGTATGTTAATGCTTTAAGGAGGCTGCTGGCCTCCTTTAGTGCTATGAAACCAAAGTTTGCTGCTAGTTCGTGGGACCAGCACAGAAGAATGTTACCCAACGTCTGTGTCTTAATTACAGCAAAGACATTTAAACACACCATTTGGGATGGAGGTATCTAGGGCCACGGCAGTCTCATACGTCCAGCAGCGTGCCACATTACGGATAGTATAGCCTCCTCCACCCAGCATAAGCAGTGGCAGGTTGAAGCTCTTCATATACTCCACACACTTAGCATGACCTAAAGCAAACAACATGGAAACAATCATTAAGCCTTCTTTAGAGTCTCAGTCCAATTTAGATCAAGAGAAGAGGATTTTTGTTTTAGTTAGCCAACCTTTGATGGTGAGGTTAAAGCAACCAAGCCTGTCTCCAGACAGCGAATCGGCTCCACACTGGAGAACCACCGCGCTGGGTTGGTACATCTCCATCACTTTAGCCATGATCTACACAAACAACACAAACACTATCACGAATGTTTCGTTACAAAAATGTCAAAGTGCAAAAGTTAACAATAGTTTTTTTTACTCACAGGCTTAAATATGGCTTCATAGGACTCATCGTCAATCCCATCCCTCAGCGGGTAATTCACAGCGTAATATTTGCCCTTTCCAGCTCCGATGTCCTACAGATAACAAAGCAAATATCAACTGGCTACATTACCACACTGACATTTTGAAATGTATTCATCAAAGACCTACCCTGAGGTCACCGGTGCCAGGGAAGTACTCTCCATACTTGTGGAAGGACACGGTCATGACACGGTCTGTGGTGTAGAAAGCCTCTTCCACACCATCTCCGTGATGGATGTCAATATCTATGTACAGAACTCTCTGGTGGTATCTGAAAATAAAAGGAAAAGTTCTTGGAATCCACATAATGTCAGAAATATCGTCATTTACTTTTTTAAATTATTATTAACCTTTATTTAACCAGGAAAAGTCCCATTGAGATTAAAAACCTCTTTTGCAAGGGAGTCCTGGCCAAGAGGCGACAACACGTTGAAATTACAAAGTTACATACATATTATAAATAACAATTACATTTTAAAAACATTTTTCTCTGGCTCTCTCAATCTGGACTTAAAAGCATTTAATGAAATAAGATCTGCTATCTTCCAGTCTTTTTGCATCATGTTCCATGTGAAAGGGGCAGCATAAGTAAAAGCCCTCTTTCCCAGTTCAGTTCTGGCAAATGGAACATTGAGCAATAAAAGATCGCTTGAACGCAGGCTGTAAGAAACAGTACTTCTCCGTGTGAGCAGATCGCAAATGTAGGTGGGCATTTGTCCAAGCAGGGCCTTATAAATAAAGATGCACCAGTGAGCAAACCTCCTGGAGGACAACGAAGGCCATCCCACTCGAGCGTACAGATCACAACAATGGGTCAAGGCCCACTTTTGAGGCTATATCACTTGTGTGCTTTGGGTCAGTGGCTTCCTTCATCTTGCAACAACACAGTTTCTTCAAAGAACAGTTTGTTATCAGCTGTGAGGTACCAAAGAAACCACAAACCACGATGTTTCTTCCAGTATGTTTTACACCCGGAATGAGGTTTTGGTATGCAGTGTTGCCTTTTCTTTTTCTGCCCTCCCAAATGTGGTCTTTTGAATCGAATTTGGATTTTGGTGGGCCTTGACTTGACTTCTACAGTGTTTTTGTCATCATTCATGCCTTTATTTACACCTCCTGGTATGACTTTTGATGGATTTATACTGAGTATAGTGAGTCTGATTTTGCCTTTTCCAATTTGTGCATACTTATAATTCTTCATCTAAGGCTGTGTGAAAGTTGTTTGTATCGTGCTATAGTTCCTACCAACCCATCTGTCTTGCACTGATCACTGATAAGAGTGTGGGACCTCCTCAACTTTTGTTTTCAATCTACTCATCTAAAACTGTATCTTTTGGAGAAGTAATTTGCAGAGACTTTTACTTCCCTTTTCCCTGCTGTAGCATTTTTGACTTACTTCAGTAACTCCAGGATAGCCAACACGATGTCATTGACATAACAAAACCCAGAGGCCTCTGACTTCTTGGCGTGATGAAGGCCTCCAGCCCAGTTGATAGCAATGTCTGTCTGCTGTTTGTTCAACTTCACAGCACCGGCTGGAGGACCGCGAGGATGTGAGAATTGAGAATCAGATTAGGTTGAATTTAGCAGATTACTGACATTATTACTGAAAGATGCTGCATGCCTCTCTGATGAGAGTTCAAATAAAGAAAACTCACCAACGGAGCCCCCGCCTGACAGCTGGCAGAACTCAAATAATCCATCAAACACTGGACAGTCCTCCCCCACATTAACTGTAAAGAAAAGCACAAAATTAGTCAACGTACACAATCAGTTTAATTGACTTTAGCTAAACAGCAAGTCTCTTACATCTCTGCATTTGTTTGCTGTATTCTGACATGTTATCGGGCCGGATTGAACGCAGGAACTTGATGTAATCGTCACTGTGATACTTGGTCATCTCCTCTCCACTCGCTTTGTGTGGACGCTGCAACAAAAAGGGCTAATTACTTACAGCTACTAAAACCAAACTTACACATCCAGACTGTAACTTTCACATACATATATTTCCATCTTTCTGTAGAGGCCATAGTTCAGTAACAGGTTGTGTGTCATGCGGATTCGGTGGGGCTTCATGGGATGCCCCTGTCCATAATAATAGTTTCCAACATCACCTGAAATGAGAACAAATAAAAACACACTGGATTACTATTTTACTCTACAGGCACGACCTCAGTTAGGAGAAGCAGAGCTGAAGTACAGAGGTTTGCACGTATGAAACATCCATGCAGCGGAAAAGGTTGTGAAGGTATCCAGCTGTAACTTCACGCAGGTCTGTTAAGGACCTCAAGCCAAGACACGCAGATCAAAGAGTCTCTGTTAAAGTCCAAAGTCGTGGCGTACACGGAGGATTTAGTGCACTGTGGGTCAATATCGATGAAAAGCGTTTTTTTTTAACCAGAACCACCGACATCTGAAGGAAGTAAGACGACCTAACCAAGTGTTAGCCTACTATTAACCAACTGTATTAACAATGAAGTACCCATTGTTAGCCTGCTAGCTAGTAACATTAACTAGTCCAGTTAAAGTAACAAGGTCCGGAAGAAAACGCTTTTAAGCAACATCTGAAAAGAAACCCTAGTATTTAGACAGTCTGAGCAAATATTATTGGAACATTAAGGCTCTGCTCGGACACAGCGGGACTGTGAGCGGCTCAGATGCTGCAAAGCCGCCTGCGACTCGAGCTAGCTACGTTAGCAACAGTGCCAGGTTAGCAGGAGGTTAAAAAAAAAGAAACGGTAACCTTTGTTAGTGCAGAGAGGCGGGTTTGATTCATCAACACGCCAGCGGTTTAGAGTGCAGCCACCCCAGTACTCACCATCATAGTAGTAGCAAACTTTTTTCTTTGTTCCTTGAGAAGTAAGCGCCATTTTTAGTCCGTTTTTAGCTGAATTTCACCGCCGCCGCACACACACCGCAGGAGACAACGGCGACAAGAGGCGGAGAGTTTGTGCCACGGCCAATCAATGGAGTGTGATGCTACAGTCTCGCCACAGGGGGCGACAGAGGGAGAGGCTGACAGAATCCACAACATGAACATGAACTACAGCGCGGATGAAATTATTTCTGTAGTTTACCTCATTAAAGACAGCAATATCATAATTGTTTTTAGTTAGAAGAGATTTTGCTTCATCCAAATCTCAACATTAACATAGAAGCAGAAGTATAATAAAGATAAAGATCCCTTTAGGGGTCGCCAAAGTGGATCATCTGCCTCCATCTCAGCCGATCTGTCAGCATCCTGTCAGCCTCACCTCTCCAACTTTGTCTCTATTTATCTCTGTCCTTCTGATGTAGGCATTCCTTATCTTTTCTATCAATGAAAATCTTCAGCTTGACCACCTGACTTTTTTGTTACTATCATTATCTCCATTTTCCATCTTTTTCTATCATAGAAAAAGATGGACTATGGACTATGATTCATAGCCCTCAGAGCCTGCTGTCTGATCGTGTGGGTCAACTGTTCCATCACCATTGCTTCTCTCCATCATACCAGCAGCTCTCCTCCGTTACCTGTCAGTCTTTAAATTTAACGTACATACTCTCACCTCTGCCCTGCCTTTCATTCTCTCTCTGCTGCCTAACACACCTTCTCTTTTCTTTTTCATTTGTCTTCAGCCGACCTTTGCACAGTTTCCACCTTCACCCTGTTGCCCAACAGCACCAAAGGAAGTCATTGTTAAACTGGGATCTGACTGAAAAGGTATGAAGATCTAATTTTTGGTTTGGCAAAAAATTTACTGTGTTCTTCCTGATACAACTCTCTCGATTTATCCAGGACTGGAACCAGCACTACAGGTATGCTGGCTTTTGTCTGGTCAAAAAGCAAAGCAATTAGTATATTTAACTATAAGTAAAGTCAAAGCTAAAACTCAGATTGATTTTGTTTTATTTAACTTACAAAAATAAATTGTTTAGGGAAAAAAAATTACAGTACTTGGGGAAAGCCTCCCTATATTATTATTATTATTATGAAAAACTGAGCTAGAACTGATGCTTTAATTAGTATAAACTAAACTAAAAGCAGTAAACCTACTCAAGCAAACCCACTCGGGAAAAGAAAACTAAATGGAAAACAAAAATTAAAAAGAAATAATAAATATATAGAAAAAACAAAAAATGACTGTGTTGTAAACAGCATTTTAATGATGCAGCTGCTTTCTCCATATTTAATCAGAGGCAAATTTCTCAAATATAAACGTCTGTGTTATGTAAATAAAATCCTACAATAAGCAAGTAGCGCTGCCCCTAAAATAAATACAGCATTGTAAAAATATTATTTGCCTTTAAAACGAAATGCAGTACAAGTTTAAAGAACCCAAGATCAATGGAAGATTCAGAAGTTACCCCAAAACTTACAGTACTCGAGCAATAGCAATAGTTTGACGGCTCTCATGATTTTAGGGTAACGCACTGCAACATCAGCAATGATAAACTAAAATAATGCACATGTCATCTGGTAACAAACAACATTCATGAACAGCTTCTCTTTTTTTACTGAAATTAAAACACTTTCAAAAACATTTATTAAACAGCAGAGGTAAAACACAGCTGAAGCAGTGAACAGTATTTACACGTTAACAACAAGCACCAGGAGAGCAGCTGGTTATCCAGCTACATCAGTCAGTCCCCAGTTAATTCAAGCAGCTTGGCGATCACGCTCCCCTCTGCTGCTGGCTCTGATCCAGCTGGTTCATATTCATAGTTCCATAGGTAATAGTATCATATCTAAGTGGTCATGTCAGAATATATTTGATGCAGAAACTTGGAAAATGTCTGTTTATCCCTATCAGTAGAAAGGCATGCATTCTTCTAAAGAAAAAAATCAAAATCCAGCATCCACTGTCACAGGCTGTGCCTTAGTTTGAATCTGTTTATTGTATGTGTCTATTCCTAGCTATTCCTGGTATTGCCTCTCTGTGGATGTGAAGAAATCCTCCAGAACATTCCTCAGGTACTCGAACGTAGGTCTCTCCTCCGGATTCTCCTTCCAGCAGTGACACATGATGCTATAAAGAGCATCGGAGCAGTTGTCAGGCTGTGGCATTCTGTAGCTCCGCTCCAGGTTCTGGATTACCTCTGGGTTGGACATACCTGATAAAAAATAAATAAACAAATAAGAAATCAAATGTTTTTACAATTATTATTATTACTAGAATGAGTAATACGAGTGTGATCATTTACCAGGGTAAGGAATGCGTCCATATGTCACTATTTCTGTAAGGAGGATCCCAAATGACCACACATCAGATTTTATGGAGAAGGTGCCATAATTAATAGCTTCAGGGGCCGTCCATTTGATGGGGAACTTTGCACCTAGAAACAATGGAGAAGATTAAACAAGAATCTATGAAATGCTTTGAAATAGAGCCGAAGAGATGATATAGGTAAAGCTGTTGCTACCCTCTCTCGCTGTGTATTCGTTGTCCTCTATGAGTCGTGCGAGTCCAAAGTCGGCAACCTTGCAGATGAGCTCATGAGAGACAAGAATATTGGCAGCTCGCAGATCTCGATGAATGTAATTTTTCTGCTCAATAAATGCCATGCCGTCAGCCACCTGCAGGGGACAGCACAAGACAAAAGAAGCATGAGTGTGTGTGTGTGTGTGTGTTCAAGCACAAAATAAATGGCTGTGTACGGCCTGTGTGTATTTTAGCACTGTGCAATGTTTGTGTGTTAGACACATGAACCAGACAGATTCCCAAAGTAGGGAGTTGACTACTTCCTCGGGTCAGTTCTCTCTACCCTTTCACCTCTGTGCTCCACCCAGGTGCACAACACCAGCTCTACTTCCCAAAACAAAATGCTGCAGTCCTTGCTTTGCCTTCCCACAGACTGAGAGTTTATTACAGTGGCAGTCTGTGACTCATTCAGGTACAACACAGCTCATTTTGAAAGACGTGGACCTACAAGGGACTCTGATAGTGCACTCCGATGAATAAGGAAATTGATGCTAAGGATTTCCACAGAATTCACCACTCCACAAACACAAATTATCTGATACATTTATGGCGATCTGTTCATTTCTCTAGTTTTATCTAGTTTTTCTGAAGCTGCGGTGCATATTTCAGGCGTGAGAATGTGTCACATAGGCGGGGAGAAACCTGAGATGTACGTATGTTTGCGTCTTTCACAAAGTGGCAGTGTGACCTCCACCTCTACCTCTTTATACCTCTTTACACCTTTGTTCCATTCATTTGATTGTGGCATGAAAGAAATAATGGAAAGCATTTAAAAAGTTCTTAAAACCACACTTAGATTTGTGGTTGCCACTCTCAAAATATTATGAGTAAAATCTCTAATTCCTCTAACTGCATGCATGTACTTTGATTTAAACATAAGGTAGGGTTGTGACCACAGCAATAAATCACATTTGTCTCTATGGTCCACTGCATGGTGGTTACAGTTACCACAAAATCTATCAGTGCATAACTGGCTTGAAAACGTTGATTCTGTAAAAATGCGTTCACTGCTGTGCACAAACTCCAGCCCTCTGCAGCGAGCTCTGAGGCATTCGAGAATTTGCCTCTTGCACATCGAGAATCTCGTCAGGTTAGACTTTGAAGCTTCAGCCTGCCTTCCTGTGGTTTTGTTTTCCATTCCCAAACCTACACATTTAACTTCTTTGACAGGTTATATTTCACAAAGTAGGAGTGGGTACAAATAGTAATATATGCTTAAAATTTTGCAGCTGAAGCCAGTGTGAAGTCAGCAGTTGGCTGGTTTAGCTTTGCTTTGCATTAAGACTGGAAAGATAAGGAAGCAGTGGGTCTGACTTGAAAGAAGTTTCAACTACACTTTTTCGTTTTCGACCTAAGCTTATTATAATACTTTCACTGCCACATGTATTCGGTGGCAAAGGCCATACTTTTAAAATTTTAGCTACGTTGGCATCTTTGTGCAAATGTGTGATTAAAAAAAACACAAGATAAAATGTTCAGGCAATAGCCCCCTTGTTCGGTGGTAATAAGCCTCTGTGGTATATGTGCCACAGTGTCTAGACCAGCCTGCATTCATCAACATGGTTTCACATCTGCACGCACACACACACACACACGGTTCTGATATTATCACCAGATTAAACTAAGCCTCAACAGTGGGTACTTTACTGCGTGGAAGTGCTGTGCTAGAATAATAGGAAGTGAAAAACGAAATCTTGTAAATAACTTGAAGAGAGGATGGAGATAAGTGGGCAGATATATTCACTGTAACAATAAATGTCTTGCCTGAGATGACATCTCTATCAGGACGTTCATGGGCAAATTGCTCCCCTCTGTTGTTTTCAGGTAATCCACCAGGCTACCTGTAAGAAAAATATACAACTTAAGTTTTCATTCATTCAAAAAGAATAACAGGTTGCATAATGGCGCGTCCACATTACTGACTGTTATGCAACAAAGATTAGGCAACAATGAATGCTAAAATGAATTGGAAAAAACCATGCACTGTCCACAAGACTAATTATATTTCCCTTTATCCACAAAAAAAGCCCTCGCGATTCTCCGCAGCCATAAATACAGCGAGCTGGACCAGAATAGCACCTCAAATCAGTGAACATTTTACTTGGAGGAAGCAGAGACCATCAGATATGTTTCTGATAGCTGACTTTGTGTTGACTTTGATTAGCAGAGAACAATACCTCTGTGCACCACCCAACCAAGTCAGACCAAAGGAAATAGTTTCAGAGGAATGACTGTGCCAGGAAAGAAGAGGCAGTTACTCCTCTGCTTAAGTCCGGAGGACAGTTTTTGAAGTATGAGAACCAGGGTAAAGCTCTTTGTCAAGGTCACAAAGGGAAGCTGGGATGGCACGCCTGTTATTTTCCATCTTTGTTGTCTCTGATAATAAAAAAAGGGAGAAGCGGAAAAGATGGGAACTCCAGAGCCGTCCTTTCTTTTCACAACAGAAGCGACAATTGTGTCCCGTTAACATGTGGATCCCAGACAAAGACACGGCCTCACATAGAACCAGTGCTGGTGGTTTGCAAGCTACTCACAGACGACTATACAAAGGCACGCCATTCATTTCAGCTGTAGGCCCGTTGTTGTGTTTGTGACAGCATCTCTCTGTGCATTTTGCGATTGTTCCTCTCAGTGAAAGATTTGTGGGCAGTAAACCTTTATTGAGAGTACTGAAACTGCTAACATGATTTGTGATTCACTGCAATTCCTCATATGTTATGTAAGAGGAGAGGGGAAAAGAGGAAGACACAGTGGTGAGATGCTGAACAAACTGTTATTCAAAGCGCTGCGGCATGTTTGTTTACGGCCGCAGCGGTGCAGTGTGCCGACATTTGTGTAAATGTGTCCCTGGAAAAGAGCCAGGCACCATCAGGGGTCTGTGTGAACAATAACACAGTGATTCATCCTCTCCTAATTTAACACCCTTCGTCTCAGACGGGCCGGAGAGACTTCCCCTCGATGCGTAAACACCAGTAACCTGTCTGGAAGGGGCCCAGCAAAGAAGTGAAAGTTCATGTTTGCTTTGAAACATTTTAGCAGCCAGCAGTGAAGGCCACGAGGAGAAGCCGAAAATGGCCTATCAGAGCTTGGCCGCTTCATCAAAGCAGCAAGTTTTGAAGGGAAGGGCCCGTGAGTTACTGTGGCTGCCTCATTCAGATTTCCTCACACGACTCGATTCATGTAAAAATTACAGAGCTTCATCTCTTATCAAAGATCAAAGTCAAACAAACAGAAGGGCAGCTGTGGATGTACCATCAAAACCTATTCTACTGATTCAACAGGCTCACTGAGGTGGAGCAGGTGTATGACGACATTATGACTCAGGGAAAAGAAGAAACGCATTGGGCTGCCCGCTCTTTTGTTCGAGCATGTGCTTTCACCCAAAGTCTGATAGGAGATCAACATGTTTAATCCTGAGCGTCTATAACAGCGCGAGAACTTACAACAGAAATTCTTTTGTCTTTGCTGCAGGCTGCAGGCACAGAGCTCACCCTGACACGGCAGGAGATGTCAGACAGGCTTAGACATATTTTAGATTACTTAATTGAATGGAAAGGAGCTGGTGTGATTACAAACGCATATCTCTTTAATTTACCTTCAAATAGGAACTGCTCAGAAACACTGATTTATTTTCCTTTAATGCTTCAGCTGACATGTGGAATTCCCTCTTGAGTGTTGGGCGCTACTAGCTCATTAGTAAAATTCTCCAGGTTGTGACACATGTTGTGTTTCTGCCTACCATTTTCCATGTACTCGGTGACAATATAGATCGGCTCCTGGGTAACCACAGCGAAGAGGCGGACGAGGCGAGGATGCTGCAGGTTCTTCATCATGTTGGCTTCTGCCAAGAAAGCTTCCACTGACATAGTGCCCATTTTCAGATTCTTGATTGCCACTTTCCTGTCGTTGTTGTAGACACCTGAAAACATATGGGCATATAGATATCACAGGGTGAACTCATGCTGGTGTTTACCACTTAGCACTTTTTACTTTAGTATGTCAGAGCTGAAAAAATTGAGCTAACAAGCAAGTGTCAAAAAATGGCAAGTGTTTGAATGGCCACTAGTGGCTGGTTTAACCTTCCCATAGTTAACAACCTTCCCATAGTCTGGTGCAAAAACAGGTTTCTAACTGTTTCACTGTTTAAATCGTGGCAAGAGGACATGCAAACGCATGACTGTGGGTTGAAGTTTGAAAAAGACAAAAGAAGTGTTATATAAATACACATCCATTTAGCCTTTGGAGTTACACATTACAAGGGTGTGTCTGCCTTGAGTGTCTTAATATTTAATCTGTTACCCACCACCAGTCCAGTATTTGTGCAGTGCACCAGCACAGACTATGACTGTAACTTGCTGAGCGGTTTGTCAGTGAGATGGCTAAAATGAAGTGGGTGACTCCACGTTTGCCGTTGATTAAATAACATTGAATGCTAAATCATTACTTTTGTGTGCGGTCATGACTAACCAAGTCAAGTCAAATGTTAGAGTGCTGCTTGAAACAAGTCACCCAGTACTTTATATAGTGTAAGGTAAAGACCCTAGAATAATACAGAGAAAACCCAAGAATCCGATGACCTCCTATGAGCAAGTACTTGGTGGCTCGAAGGAAAAGCTCAGCTTTAACAGGAAGAAGCCTCTGACAGAACCTCAGGGCAGCCATCTGCCGTGTCTGGGGTTGAGGGTGAGGGGAGGAGCGTTTAAAGCTGAATGGCGAAATGCGGTGTATAAAAATGTTTGCAGGCTCCGTGCTTCTGAAAATGAAATCATTGTGGGTGTAACAACAGAAGATTTATTATCACACAGCACGAATCCCAGCTATGGAGACATTTGGTAAAGCTGTCTTTTAATAAGATGTTTTATCTTTATTTTATTGTCTTTTTTTCCTTCCCTGTAATGAAGGCCGATTGATATCATATCGTGCCAAATATGTCAAACAAAGCAAAGTCAGCAGGACTCCACTCTACTCATTTTTAGAAAATGTAACAACTTTTATCCACAATCAAATGTTAGATTATAACCCTGAACTGATTGCCAAACAAAGCTATGCCTCTACTCCAACTAAGAATGTCCTGTTCTGTCCACACGAGTAATTAAGCCCGTCTAGTTGCCGGCTGGTGATTTGATGACTCTAAACACAGCTCTTTTGTCACCAGTGGAGCGATTCAACGTGGGCCAGGCGAGCAACAGTTTTTGAATGGCTTTCATGCAAACAGGTTCTCATTCCAGCTCTGGAACACTGACACCCTCCTCATGCCAACTAAAGCCACAGCCGAGCAGTTTCACTTTCAGTTACACAAAGCGCTGAACAATTCACACCAAACATGAAGTGCAGCGACACTGTGAGCAAATTATTTTTACTATTCAAAGCATCTCTCTGCCCCTTTTATCTACTATGGAAATCTCGTTAGAAGACGTAGTTGTGTATTTTCATGTGCATGCAAATAAACATTTCAAAGCCAGGGACAGTCGCACCCACAATTCAAGAATGTCACTGAACCAATGTTTGGATGAGGATGAAGAAACAAACAGAGCTCTGGCTACATGGGAGCAAACATTGTAAGTATAAAGTGGCTGTGAGTGGAGAAGTTCCATTGTTGGTAATGTTTAGCTCTTAAAGAGAGGTTTGTTTGGGATGTTAAATTGTGCTGGCAAATGAGGATGGGGAATAGAGGGAAAGTTACCCCTGCAATTCAGTAATAATGGGGTTGTGGTACAGATTAGTTCAACTGATACCCATGTGATCCAAACACTTTGTGTCTTGTTTACCTTAATCCTTCACAGGAAAGCCAGATTTATGCTGCTTGAGCGATGTTGTGTAACACGGTTAATACCTCCCATCACTCTTCAGTTAACCAGCTCAAACAAGCCTACAATTAAGACTGCATGGAGGAAACGCTTCTGCATACACTGCAGAAAAACCCTGGCGAAAACTTTCTGGCAGCCACGCAGTCAAGGCCACAGCCAGATTGAGCAACTGGGCTTTGTACACACGATCTTTTTCTGCAAAATTCTGCAAACCTTTAAAAGTCATGCAAATGGAAATGCACTTACCCATCCAGACTTCTCCAAACTGCCCAGCTCCGAGCCTGCGTTCCAGTTTCAGAGACTCACGAGGAATCTCCCACTCGTCCTGCCACCAGGGCTTCTGCGGTGCCCTAGACTGACATGGTTTCACCAGCTTTGTGCACAGCCCGTCTGCATCACCTGAATGACAAAGAAAAGAAACGTATAAAATTATTAGAATGAAGACTCCACAGTAACCAGCAATATCGATAATCCCCTCAAGAGGCTGTACGCACGTGAGTGATGAAGGACGAGCTCCTTCAGCGAGTTGAAGGATATCTTCGCTGTGATGTAGAAGCCACCATTGTCCATGTTGCGGATCCTGTAGTGCTTCACTCCTTCACCTGTGTTATGGTCCAGATCTCTCACTGACAACGAGTATGATCCTGGAACAGGAAGTTAGAACCATGATGATTTACTCTAAAATGTCCTAACTAAGCTTTTCACTGTCAGACACTTAAGGCTTTCCAAAATACATCATCCACTACAACGCATGAAATTAGTAGCTAATGTATTGGAAATGTCAATATTAATACATCAGTACATTAGTACTATTAAAATTTTTTAATTTTCTCACAATATAGACAAAGTTTAATGCTAAAATGGCCTTTGAAGCAGAAATAATGTTGTGGGCTGATTCGCTCTGCGTAGATTTGCAACATCGTGACAGCTTTAATGCTTAAAGTTGCTAATCTGATCATTTTTACCAACCAGGAGCATTGAAAATCCTTTCCACCTGACAAACCTGAGATACATGCACTATCTACTCCCATGTAACATAAAAATGTTTGCTTTGTTTCCCATAACGCTTTAAACAGGAAGCATATTGGTGTCATGGAGTTGTTATAGCTTGAACACACGTGGTAACCTCTGGGGCTTGAAAATTAAGAAAAGGCTTTGATGAGGCAGTATTAGGGTCTCAGCTGTTGTGAGTGACAGGTCGATAATACGTGTAGCTTCTAGCTGTCTTCCAGGTGTCACCTCACCCGCTTCCTGTCACCGAAATGGACTTTTTGAGCATGTTTGCTGCCATGTTAACAGACCGTCCAGCAAACTCTTCCAGTTTTTCGGTGAGTGACTTACTAACAGCGAGTAGCTGTGTGTGCATCTGGATGCATCTTGGCAATTAAGCTAGCTAATATAGCACTCACTGACCATATCAAAGATGGCCAACGTGATGGGGTGATAGTGGTGTTTGCAAACAGACTACAGTTTTCTCAGTGAGAAACAGCCCCAGCCCTGGTCTCTGTTAACAGTTTCCTGGTGGTTTCATGGGTTTAGCCGCTGGTTTTTGGTGAGATTTTCGATTTGTTGAGTAAAACGTTACCGTAAGTCCATTTTGTAAAGTTTTAACATTCTAAGTGTCAGAGAGCGGGTTTATCGAGAGGATGCTCATTGGCTAACGACTTGTGGTTTTCATATTAGCACTCAACCATCTGGTCCAAGTATTATCACTCATTGCTCCACAATAGTGAAGGCCATAATGCCAAACTTCAAGCTGAAAAACATAGTTGTGCAATCATCTATCTTTTATACACAGCTTATGTTTTATTCAGCTGAAGGTGAGAGTTTGAATCCTGTTACATTTCTGAAAATTTACCACTTCAAAAGTAAGAGGAAAAAAAAGGATTTACAAGCAACCAAATGATGCAACCATCACTCGATTAAGCTGGCAATGAAGAAAGCATGACAATGATTCTCAGACAGGTTTTGGTTTACGTGGCTGGGGTCCTCTTGTAAAGCTTAATGCACATATGGGAACACCCCTCAGTAACCAGCCTACATTGTAGAGACGCTGGTGTGGTCGTCTTTTTGTTGGAAAACGATTTGGGTGGGTTTTTTAATCTGTTTTTATTGTTTTATGTGTTATGAGGTTTATCTTGTTTTTATGGACTATGAGTCTGGGATAAATAAAGATTGATTGATTGTAATAATTTATATTTTATAGTCATTTTACTACAATGCATAGAAACATCACTTTTCTCACAAAATGTGAGTCACCGTGTGTTCCAGTGTGTTATGAGTCAGAGTTAAATATCTGTGGTAATCACACTGTACTGCGTTGTTCTGTGAGGCTGTACGTGGGCACAGTCGAATACTTTAACAATTATAAGGTTCATTCGACGATGTTAAAAAAGCACAGTGTAGACCGCCGTACAGAACTGTGTGCCAGTGGCTAAAATAATGAATCGTGGCACACTTCAGGGGGGTGAGCATTTAGCAGTCGTGGCTTCATTTCCAGTGAAATTAATGCAGCATGTAAGTCATATTTTTTATTTTAAGCAAGGAGCAGGAAAACAAAACTGAAACAAAACAGATGAGACAAATTGGGAAACAGGTAGTGGGATTACGGGAAATGCACGTAATAACAAAACTGACTGCTACTGAGGAAACCAGTCATATTGTTCATGAGCTCACTTGTTCCATTTAGGTTATTAAAGGTTTAAAATGTGACATATAGCATTTAAGTGCATCTCAATGTGAAGTAAAACAGACTGCTGAGAAGCCGCCTGTTGATCTGCGCAGTCGGTTTTCTGTAGAGCATTTTACCTTTGGCGGTCTCACTCTCTCGAATCAGGAAGGAACCCTGCGTATTCCCAGGAGCGAGGAGCAGCCTCATGGCTTCGTTTCTCGAAATGTTCCTGAAGAACCACCTGCAGCGCAAACACACCATATGCTTCACACTTTGAGCTAACCACTTCCCTTCCCTCAGGGACAGATAATGCATTGCATGACATGAGATGGTGTTGAGGTTGAATGACATGGCTTTGAAAGGCGTGTCAGCGTGCTTCCTGTGTGACGTACGGTTCGGTCTCCACGGTGGACAATGCGACAAAGTTGTAGGGGATGTAGCCCTGCTGGCCTGTGGTGAGAGACTCTGCCAGATACCATTCTGGATCATCCCTGCATGTCAGAAGAGGCAGCAACAATACTCTGAGTTAGTTATCATAGCCGTGATGTGTGTCACACAGCTTCAGAAAACAGGTTCAGTTCAACCCCAAAAAGGCCTCAATAGTCTTTACGTGAATAAAATGAAGCGCATCGCTGGGAGGGAGAAAAATATGTTGCTCTGTGTAAAAGAAGAAGACGCTGAAGGGAAAGAAGGATGCTCAGCACAGACTTAATTGTAAACGGCCCTAAAAATTAAAGATTTAAGATCTTGAGCTACATAAATTAATCTTGTTATGTCGTTGGAGTTCTGCCTAAAATCATTAACAATTGTCACACGTTTTAATACAATATTAGCTAGCAGTCGTTCCAGGAAGTTATGTTTTCTATGTCACAAACATATTTTTTTACTAAAAAACTGGTAAATCTTGCTACATTAAGTGTGCATGCAGAACACTAGCTTTTTATATTTTGATATATTAACTTTAACTTTCAAGCAAAAGATTATTTTCTTTTCTGCGTACATACACATATTCGAATGAGTTTCTATTGCACATTTTTATATTTACCCACATATATATAGCACAGTATGTCATATGGCTTTATTTCCTTTGCTGTTATATGTATGTTTTTCTCTTGTTAAAGTTTGTGTTTCCTCTTTCAAACCCGCAAAATCACACGTCTGAATTTTTTGGGGGCATTTTTTTTACATTTATTCAATTTTCAACAGCACACATTGACAGGAAGTGTTGGGTGAGATCATGTAGTCATAACATCTCCCATCTGAAAATACATTCTAAAACATATGGCGTGTATTTACAGTGGGTGCTCGGCAGTCCAGCAGACCCACAGCTGTGTGCAAGTATGATTAAAAGCTGAATTTAAGTCATTTGCAAATAAGTTAATCCCAATATTTAACTGAAAACGTACAAAGACAATATAGCAAAAAATGTGCTCAATTTAAATTTGGCGTCAACAATACATTAAAAGAAAATGTGGGGACAGAGCAGTTAGAGACTGGAAAAACTGTGTAATACGCAAAAAAAGCAGTTGGTGGAACATGAAGCTAGAAATGTTAATTAGAAACACGATCGTTTTTATAACGAGCGTCGCGCAGATGTTTTCTAATTTAAGTCTTTATCTGAGTCTTTCGTATTTAACCCTAGGGCGAGGCTGAGCACTTGAAATATCGATACCCATGATCTAAAAACACCACAGCCATCTTTTGGTGTAGTAAACAATGCGTACTGCCATGCAGACATTCTTGCTTATTTTAGCAAAACACTGCTACTCTGTATTATTATTACAGCAGCTTGGCTTCACTTGTGGTCCAGATGTGTCAGCCATCCCAAAAACAAGATTACCCCAGCTGTTCCAATCAACAAACAAAAAAGAGATTTCACTTTCAAAACTGCAACGATTGATTTTCTCGTTTTCCTAACATACACAGGGTCACGATACACAGTGGAAAGTGTGTCAGTCCCAACTTTTTCAAACATATTTCTGGTATTAAAGTCAAAATGAGTGTATATATAATTAAAAACAAAACAATGCAGTTTCTCAGTTTGGGTTGTCTTTGTACAATCATCAGTTAAATGTCCTGGTGTTAAGGTTTTATAGCTTATGCTCCACTATTTATGGGGTGAGTGGATAATGGACCAGATTAGTTCTTGGTTTCGTTGCAAGACATTGCTGTGTGTTTAAAAGCAGATTACTTGTTGAGGATCTTGAGTTTGTCTCCTTTGTCGAAGCCAAGGTCGCCGTCATGAGTGGGCTCATAGCTGTAAATGGCCACCACAACGTTGACTGCAAGACAAAATTTGTAGTTTTAGATACAATTTTACTTGCAATTAACATGAAAAGCTTATGTCAAGCTTATTTCAACCTATTCCATTTTACATATCTGACAAAGACATGTGGGGCCCTTTCACGGCGGCACATTGTAATGCATTACATTACACAGAAAAAGCAAACGATCCCCTGTGAGCGTGAGCTGGCGATGGCGAATAATCCCCTCTCGTCAGAGTGTACGAGAACAGCAAGTAGACATTTACAGGTGAATAATTAAAGATTTATTTATAGGGCAAGATAATGGCATTATAAATTGTTGTCTTTTCATTATTTATAGAACTAACTCCAACTTAGAGGCTAAAAATATAATAGATAAACTAGCGGAAGCTGTTTCCTGCATGGGGAAGTGAATCATCATAAAAAATGTGTCACTACATGATTTACTGTAACTACTTGCTGCAACTGATCCTGGATCACATTCATTATTACACAAAGGACCCAGGAAACAAAGTGTGGCTGTGGTACTTGAGTACACAATAAGCCCAAAGTTACTTGAATAATTTCATGCATACTTGGTCATATTTGTGTAAACAGCAAGAGGAACCACCGCGGAAACCAGAGAATGGAAAGCAAATGGAAAACTTTGTGTTCATAAACAATGAAATGGAAATATTTATAATGTGATGGGATGAGGGAAAAGTCCAGATGTACTGACACTGACACAATAAAAAAAACTATATTACATAATTATGTATACAGTTATTTTCAAATTGTACTCATGCAGTGCATCTATTAGCCCGCAGGAAAATGTCTGAAGTGCTAAACTGAGGCTGTCGTGTGTAACTAAGCGAAATAATTAAAAATGGATTTAACTCCATCAGGATAAGTTTATAGACAAAATTTACTTTTTCTAAAACTTATTACCTGGTAAAGGTGATGTAGGAGGTGTCATCTGCGATGGATATGGAATCAGCTGCTCTGTGTACTGGGAAGAAATAAACAAGATTAGATTTCCATTTTATACTTTGTAAGATTTATGCGGTCAAACAAGACACCATCGCACGTCACATTCACTGTAAGACCGTGAAGTTCTACGGTTTCATACGTGGATCGTGACGGTAAATCGTAAGACATGTGGTTTTCTCCTTTATTTCTGTCATTTCCAGTCTAATGGGAAATCTAATTCTCAGAGAGGAAACAAACAACATTGGACAGATAGTTACGCCCGCATTTAGTTACACAACCAAAAGGAAACTTTCCTCACAGTTATGTAAGTTATACAGAAATATATGACAATAATCAACAACAATCCACACAACACAAAATACACTGTGGGTTTACAGCTTATGTGTTTGTCCCCCAAGTGGTCATTCTCACACACACCACAAACCAGAAGCTTTTCATGTATGGACGCTCATTCATGTGCACCAACACACTCACACTAATGTGCACATACTACACACAAGATGAACACTTACTGGGTTGCATGATTGTGGCGGTATGGGACAGTTGCAGTGTTCGCAGATTTCATCCAAGTTCTCGATCCACTCACTGTCTGAATAGTCCGAACTGCAGTTGCAGCCCATCTTTTCTGCACGGCGGAAACTTGTGGTTATTTTCAAAAAAATCTGATGCTCATAAAATGGGAACAACAAATTAGCAGTGGAAGAAATGGCATCTTAGATTCACCAACGAATGATTCCACGTCGCTTTACAACCACATATTATAATCACTATTTAAAATTATGTAAGTCGAATTCTCTTGGAAAATCTAAAGAAAAACAGTTTGAGTAAATCTTTTTTGGCTAAATTTGAAATTGTGTGCTCTAAAAAGCTTTTGCTTCCGAAAACTGCTTCAGTCGGATGTGACTGAGGGCCTCGCCTCAAAATGGAGCCTCAGAGGGAAATCGGGCTCAGAAATAAGAGTCTGAGACCTGAAGGGACTTTTTTTAAATGCTACCCTGCGTCAGTTAAACAAAATCACATCCAGAACTGACACAGTTTTGCTATAATGTTCAGCAATGTTCAGTCACATCGGGGCGTTTCCTGTTCTCATTCTGGAGAAAGTAAAGCAGGCCCTGCAGAAGTGTACCAGTGTTAATCTGGTATAATCCAGCATCTGCACGTGCTCTGTATATTGTGTTTTAGACTGGTACTCTGTATGAACCGGCTTTCTCAGGCTCGCTTGGCTCCCACCAGACCATTCATGGAAGAAGGTCAGTGGGCCAATCGCAGCAGCCGTCTGTCCCAAAGGCTCAAAGCCGTGAGAAAAATCTGGAGAGTAACAGCCCACTACTGCCCTGAGACCCCAAGAAAGGAATCACAGAGGGATCATAAAGATGTTTTTATTTTATCATCAGCACTCCTACACTTACTGACACACACTCGGGGAGTAATACAAGTCAGCATTTTCCACTGAGGGGTTACCCTCTGCTTTTTATCATCGACATCTGAAGGCTTTTCCAAAATCATACTGATGGTTGTTGTTATTGTTTCCAATGTAACCAAGGCTACTTCAGATATTAAGTGTACCAGAAATGATGTGATGAACCAAGATTTTAAGACTTTTGACTTCAGTCACTCATTGTCAGTTCAGAAGCTTGAAGAAACAAACCATAAAAAAATCATATTTTTGTAAAAAAAAGAATAGATTTTAATAGAGTGGAATAGATATTCGATTGATTTAAGTTTTTATGTAAATTGCTGGTACACCATTTTAACAGCATACTGTTAAATTTATTTACCGTTTTAACAGTTGTCATTGTCGACATTGTTTCCATATACAGACAAACTTGTATAGGAAGTGTCAACTTTGTATCAAAATACTTTAATACCCAAACTTTTTTTTTTTGAAAATGTTATTTAAAGACAGATTAATAAAGTAGATTTACAGAAGCGTTGGTATTTCATTACAAGAAAACGGTTTGTTCTTTTGTGGTCACATCTTCCTTGTAATGCAGATTTATATCAACAGAGGAGATAACCAGTAGCTGAATGCGCTTTGTTACTGTTGTGAAGCAGGCTGAACATTATTCATTTATTTATGGATTTATTTTGCGTTGCTGCTATTTGTTATTTTTTTAAGTTCAGTAAACTTCATAGAAAAGACCAAATTTGAAAACAAGCCCCAGATTTATGTAGAATATTTGCTTTAAGACAAGAAAGACGTTTAAATCCTTTCCTGTTACACCTTTATCACAGTTTCACTTTACTTCTTTGACCTAATCTTAAAGTAAGAAGAATCACACGTGTGAAACTCACCTCTTTGGATATGAAACGTCTCCTCAAGCGTCCAATAATGTCCAATAATGTCAGATTTCAGGTGCCGCCATTGGGAAATCTTATTTAAATCTTCTTTTTTTAAAAAGAGCTGTTTAAGTGCAGCAAGCAAGTTTTTCAGCACTTGAGCCTAGGTGTGAAGATGTCATCATCCGCTTCTCTTATTATAACACTATCACAGGAGCACTTGTGCGGCGCCTGCATGCACACATGCGCACTATGGAGGGGAGCAACCCAGAGAGTTTCCTGTCGTTGAAAGGTTGAGGGTTGCTCTGCAGGCTTTTAACAGGTGCTTACTGTGCAGCTGTGTGAGAGCAAGGGGGAACGTTATGGGCTCTACGGTAAAGGGGTCAGGACAGCACCTTTCCCAAACACGGAACAAGACATGAATTTTCCAAAACAGTTTAGAGACGGGGGGCTTTTGTAGGCCGCGCTTTTGTGTCGCTCGCTGTTTGCATTTAACGTGCGACTTGCTGACCTTTAAAGTAAAGAACATCTTCAGTGTGCAGCTGAGGTGTTGGTCCAGAGCGGTTCAAAAGATATTTGAATATCTTGCAGCACTCGGGACAGTTGCATTTCCTGTGTCGTGGTTTTATGCCCCAGGTGTTAAGTCAACAAGACTACAAAGTTTTCTTTTTTAGTCAAACATGTGGTTTGAGGATATTTTTGTCTGTGGCCAAAAAAGGCTTTAAAATTAACCTTTGGTCTTGGTTTACTCAGCTTACTATTAAAAAAATGTGAAAATATAAAGAGAAAAGCCTCGTCACAAGCTCCACGTCTCCTTTAAAGAACATTTTGTAACATAGAATCATAATTTTAGCTCTAGCAGGCTGTCTCATGGTCACATTTCTACTCGAGAGAAGGCATAAAGTAAAAACCTCTCTGCCTGTTAACACCCTCTAAGCCTGTGCTGTCGCATTTTCGACATTTCATACAACTCTAGCCGTGGACCGCATCTCTTCTCTTGTGGTGAACGGCTGCTGCTACATAGCGTGCACTAGCAGGAAGTCAGTCCAAACATTACAGGAAGTGCACAGAAATATGTGCTTAGAAGACTGCCACAGCATAGATTAAGTCTCACTCATGATGAAACCACCTGAGTTCACTCTTTTTTCCGTTAAAGTGCAGAGTATAAATCTAGGAGGATGTGTGAAACGTGCTTCATTTTTCTTTTTTTTTTAATTTTGAGAGTGATGTAAATAGGTAGGTGCATGTGACAGAAGATAAAGTCTAATCATCCAAGAACTCTTCTTTGATACGTGCTGGGAGAAAAAGTGTCCCGCCATGTTTGGAGATCAGCTTTGTCCAGGCCTTCTGGAGCTTTAAGGGTATTCCTTTCTTCCTCTCGACCACAGTTGTCACTACTTCCAAATGTGGTTGGAAATCACATTCTGTTACGCAATCAAACTGCGATGCTATCAGTGTGCAGAAAGTTTTCCAGACCTCCTACCTCCTGCTACATGATGCAGGTGCTGGCCTCTTTCGTGAATGTAAATGAGGGCTCTTTTTTTTTGCCTCTAGTGCTTACTCATGTGCATCATGTAGGCTTACTTGGCTTTATGATAAACAGATGGATTACTATTCTTTATTTACACTGTAATATCTTCTGCTGGTTTGATGGCAAGCAGAAAGATACGGGCGAAAAAGGGTCACGGGAAAGTATCTACAGGGCAAAGAATGAGCAGCCTGAGAAACACAAGTCTGCAGCCCTTTATTCTGAAAGCATTCACTCAAGAATACGGCCTCAAGCCGTAGTACTTAATCCTCTGTGTCTTCCATATGATACTCATTTCCATGTGTCTAACTATTGAGGTCCCGCGACCCACATGAGATCACACAACTCCTGAAGTATGCCACTTGTGATCATTTCAACAGTCTTAGTTGCGCTCTCATTTAACACGGCGTCCGCGCTCTGCCAAGGCATATTTGGTGTCGAGCTTGACTATGTCTGCTTCTGCACATCCCTCCAGGGCCCCTTTCATACGTCTGAGTGTTATAGCAGGTCATGGCTGTCTCTTGGGAAGGAAAGAAGATACCGTTGTGCCTGGGTGGCTTTAGGACCGAGGGTGGATGATGGAGATGGATGTGCTGGAACACGTGGGGATGTTTTCCCTCACTTACACCGACAGAAATCATACAATCATCAGCATTTCATATCTCTGTTCATCCATACTCATGTCTGCTCCTCCCATCTCAGAACAAGCCTAACTCTAATTCTAACTTCAACCAAAACTACTTACAAAAAGGCTGTTTAAAAAAAGAAAGAAAAGAGATATCTAACCAAAACTTTCAAGCTTTTACAAAATATCATGACTCTAAACGCTTGAAACCTCAACCTGTTTCTGAAAAAGATGGCTGGGAATGTTTTCATTTCACTCTATTCGCTGTGTGGTTTCCTGAGACACTTACGTTGCTCAGATGAGAGGTTTTTTTGAGAAAGCTGTGACCCATTCTGAACAGGCAGGTGTAACACTGTCTCCCATCATATAGTAATTATAACTGATTCAAATATGATAAATAAAACCTCTTTAATATGTCTTTTATGTGAAAGAAAAAGATTTAGGAATTTACACTTTAAGGCGTTTTTTATATATATTTGTTCAGTTAAGTCATTACATTCATATTACAACTTGATTTAACAATCTGCATACATTTAATAGATGTTTTACACTTTTAAACATCTGAATGAATTTAACCAAAGTTAAATTCATTCATTCTTTAAAAAACTAAACTAAAGACAAAATCATTTAAAACATAAAATATACTTGGTCACTGGCCAGCCACATATAGTCTAAAATCAGTGCTCTGCAGCATCCTGACGTGCTAATGAAAAACAAAGAACATCGGACACGAGCTCCTGGTTTGTGTCACTGCAGCTGCTAGGTTGCAGAGATATTTTTGGTTTGTGAAGAAGAGGTGTAAAAAATGCTGGAGTGTGACCTGCCTGTGGCTGCTGTAAGTGTCTGCATTAAAGGACTTTGTTTACTTCAACGTGTTGCTGAGCATTTCTGTATCGGCCCAGACCAGACAGGAGCAGCTGCCTTCATGCATCAGTTTCAGTAAAGCTGTGTTTCCCAAACTTTTTGGCTCGTGACCTTTTAAAAGGGTCGTTAATGGCTTTGCCTAAATCTTACTTGACATTCAAAGTGCCGAAAAATATATTTGATGGGAATACATCTGACTCTTTTCAGAGGTCATGACCCAGTTACTTAAAAAATAAATGAATAAAAATCTGCAGACGTGAACATCATCTATCTAATCATGATGCTTGTAAAAGCATGATGGCAAATAAGAAGTAAAGAGGCTTTAACCTTGCTTAACTGCAGTCCTCACATGGCAGATCACGGTAGATTAAAAATAAAACTTGAGTCATGATTTCAGAGAAGAGACGTTGCTGCTGAGGTATTTAAATGTATTTTAGGGGAACGCTATTAGATTCCATTTTATTGAAGAGAAGCCAGGCAAAGTGAGAAACTCACAGCCAGAGAGATGAGTAGCATGAGTAGCACTGCAGGCCACAGGGGAAATATGTGATTTTTTTTTTTTCATTCAAGCTTGAAAACAGCTTCAATATGTTTTGTCTTTATTTCATTTTCTAAATTGTAACATCTCACTTTTGTTCCAAGACCTATTTAGGCTGGCAGCATAATTTCTGAGGTGATGTAAGGTAGTGTGACCTGAACACGTGGGAGGGCTACTTTCATTTCTGTATAACCTTAAAGTTGACCTAACATTTCCTCATTTTCTGTCAAATGAATAAGATCAGAAATGATTTAGAAATCTGTAAAAAAAAAAAAAAAAAAAAAAAAGAAGAAGATTTTCTGTTGTTTTTTTTATCAGGAAAATTGTTGCTTCTGTTCAGGAATGCAAGTAAATGACTGTAATTCTCAGATAACATTAATTATATTTTTCATTTTATTTTCATTGCAAATATGAATTTGATTAAAGCGCCTGCACGTGCTGACAGATTTCAGAAAATTAAAAGTTCATTTGGTAATTTTCGAAGGCATGCTCTAATGCATGTGTTAATCACTGTATATATAAGTTATATCTGTTCTAGGCACATGACAATGGAGAACAGTCATATTAAACATGAATTAAGTTCCCAATAATGAGGTCAGTGTATGCAAAGTAATCCCCGTGAGCCAAAAGCTCAGGCACAGACTGCTCCAAACACAGTTTCCGACAGTTTTTTCTAATGACCTCAATGAGAGGGGATAACCTTAACAAAATCGCCTCACCTCTTCTCAAGAGGGGCAGCCAATCACAATAAAGGTGGCTTCGGGGAGCTCGTTTCTAACAGTGGGTGGAGTGAACTCAGTAGAAGGTAAATAAGGCATATTTGAAATGTGAATTTCTACTGCACTCCTGCAGAGTCCAAGAATATGAACAGATTTATAAATGAGTTATTGTCCCGCTTAAACTTCTTTGTTCAATATGAATTTGCATCACCAAATCACCTTGGTTTCTGATATTAAAAATATACTCAGTTCACTGAGTATACTTCAGTCTAGCTCTTAGTCTTCATTAATTCTCTCAGTCAACAGCAGAGCTGCCCAGACCTCATCCAGCAGGAAGCTGCGTGATGATAAAGGTGTATGCCCCTGCAGGTCTGTATGCACAGGCTTCCTCATGCATGTCATACCAAGGCACACATCAAAGTCATCAACGTTTTCATTTTCATTCACAGCTGCTAGTGGCTCATCTTTACTTTTGCCCCACTGCGCCATCAACGGAAATAACCCTTTATAACAATAATGCCTACACAAACACAGAGGAGGTGACGGAGCGTCCTCGGTGGCATGAGTGAGGCCTGCGGTCTTTAACACAGTGAGAAACGCCTGGAGTTGATATTCATCTTGGTGAGGCCCAGATGCTTTAGAGGGGTGGACAGAGCAAAGGCAGCCTTCATGGGGATATCACACAGCAGGTCCGACTCCTCTCCGCACTCCTCCAGCTCGTACGTTGCGTCGTCCAGCATCTCCTTGTGACGGTGGCACACTTGCTCCACTTTGAGCCGATGGATCTCCACCCGCAGACGGATCAGCTGACGGGCCAGTCGGTTGTCCTGAACTTGCATTTCCCTCTGAGGGTAGAGGAGGGATGGAGGGAGCGCGTTTGAGAAGAAAGTGAGTTTCAGTGTTCAGTTTAGCAGAACATATGTGGAAGTTTGGATTTGGATGGTGCCTATCTCCTCATCAAAGGGTAAAAATCATGTGGACTACATGGGTTGCAGCTTATGAGAAAACAGGCACCATATTGTTTCGCAATCTGTGTGTTTAGACTTCTTTCCCTTAAGTTAAGACAAGCAGTCATGCAAGCAAGATCACTGACACCTAAAGAGATGCCTATCTGTTTTAAAGGTGAAGTAGGAGATAGATAGCTATCTGTATTTCTCAAGAATGGATAAGGACTCTGTATTATTTATTTATTTACTTATTCATTAATTAGTTTTAATGATTGGAGATTATCAAGAAGTGCAAATTATTTCTCAGGGCGTGACGCATCTTTAAATAAAAATCAAATCAAATTTCTGGAGGAACTCACCAGCTCTTTTCTAAGATGCTCCAGGGCATCGTCCATAGTGTCAAAGCCACAGATGCTGCCCACAACCAGTTCTGACCTCCTCAAAATTGCCGGCACGGAAACGACTTGCTGTCCTCCTGATTCGGGACCGTCCGCGGAATTTCTTTCCTTCCACGCTCGGCTCTGTACGCGCTCCTGCCACTCGAGGTAGGACGGTCTGCGGGTCTGTAACTTCAGCTTCTCCGTGAGCGCTTTCACGCTGTCCAGATCCTCCGTGTCGCCCTCGGAGGACGAGCCGTCTCCAAGCTCCTTAAAATCCATCGGTGCAGCAGATTGCTGATACACGCTGAGCATTCAGGGAGCAGGCTCGCTTTCTGCGCTGGCAGCTTGGCGATTAGAGCGCAACAGGTCCATGCCTCCTCTCCTTTATAGGGAGAAATAGCGCAGTGACCGCCCATCCCACACAGGACAGGGAGGCTGGAGAGTTTGCAAGCTTTTGTCAGGCGAGGGAAAAAGATATCCTGAAACCAAAGTCTGAGATTTTATTACTGTGCATTCACAAGTTAAATGACTTAAAACTATTTAAAATAGTTTTACATTTATATTACAGGAGAAACTGCCAAAAGAAGAAACGAATACAGATGTATGCATGTATTTCCTGGACATCAGGTTGATGTGCAGGAATCGCTTTTCTCTTTCTGCTTGCCTTGCTTTGCATTCTGGGGTAGTTTTGATCTAAAAGTGGGTCAATTAACTGCGTGCACTGAAGTACAGATTAAATTTCCATCTGCAGTATGAAAATGGAAATAATCAAGTAAAGTACAACAAACCTGCGCCTGGATGTATGAGAAAAATCTATACATACTTACATACTTACACACAGTCAGGTGAAAAACCAAGTTTTCTGTTCAGCTATGTAAAACAGTAAGTAGCCTACAGGCTTACTGTGCAATTTCCCAACAAATTCCCCTCAAGGTCAGACTGAGCAATGCTCAGAAAAACTGCAAAAACCCAGGCGCTCCATCTCAGACTCTACAGGCCCCAGTTAGCATGTTAAAGGTTAAAGTTCATGACAATAAAATTAGAAAAAGACAGAACACGTTGGCTTCTTTGGAAGGGTTGCCAGGAGAAAGCCTCCTCTCTAAAAATAACATGGCAGCACAGCTTAGGTTGGCAAAGTTGCAAATGAACAGTCCATAAGACTTCTGGAACAACATCCATTTGTTTGTCCATAACGCACAGCACCATGTTTGGAGACACCCAAACATAACTTATCAGCCCAAACCAATTATACCAACTGTGAGCATGGTGGTGGAAGTGTGCTGATTTGGGCACCTAGCAGTCACTGAGTCAACCGTGAGCTCCTCTGTATACCAATGCAGAATGAAATGTGGAGACATCTGTCCAACAGATAAAAATTGGCCAAAAAAAAAAAAAAAAGTAAAAGAATTAATGTGCTGCAATGATCCAGTCAAAGTACAAAACTCAACCTGACTGAAAAGAGCTGAGCATGAATGAATTCCTGCAAACCTCAATGAGCTGAAGCAACGCTGTAAAGACGAGCGGGGCTAAAACTCTTCCACAATGATGTGACACATCGATAAAGTCAAACAGAAAACTGCCAGAGGTACTTCTACAAGCTTCTGAATCATGGAGGTGGAACCCACCATGACTGCATATAAAACTTACTGGATGCATATCTAAACTAGTTATTTTAGGCCTATGTTGGTCACTTTTTTCTTTCATTTTAAAACTTGTTTGTGGTGTGTTTTCTTGCATCAGTGTTCCTGTTTTTATTATTGTGGTTTATGCTGCATGAATTATATTCCCTGGGGCAAAATGTGTGTTTAAATGGATGGATGGGATAGGACAAAGCATCATATTTTCCACTTGGTTCAATAGCCCACACGTGGGTGCGCTGATACACTGTACTCTATTACGTTACGTTTACTCTTTACAATAAGGCTAGATACTTATTTATATATTTTACAGGTGACTTTATTTAATGCAAAACATCTCAAATTGCAAAATATAATGAAACTAGTCAAAGCTGAAAGTTGTAGGTTCAGTACCAGCTACACTTGTTCACACTGTAATGCATCGTAATACCAGCAAAGTGATACTGTGTCAATATTTTGTAGCTGACAGATTTCAATAGTTACACACAGCAAAAGCCAACTTGGCAGATGAGTTGTGATTGACGATTTTTTGTGCTTGAGTATGGCGCCATCTAGTGACAACCTAATATACTACAGGTACTTCACAGTGGCTCTCTTCCCCCCCCCCCCCCCCCCCCCCCCCCCTCTGCAGTGCGCACAAGTTGTGATAAGTGTCACTTCTCACTCACTGTCTCAGGAAACGTAGACTTCCGCCTTTTGTCGCCTAAAGCAGCACATTTTCCACTCCCACGGCAGTTAAGCTTAGCCAGCTGTGTGTGCAGAGGTGTAGCCACATAAGAGGACGACAATGTTCAGGAAAATATGAAGCTTCTTCTATTTATAGACTTCTTGTCGCCAATCAAACAGAGCGCGGCTGCAACGCTGCCCAACCAGCTGTGCGTGCAGAGGAGGAAGCCCGCTTTCGTTTTCTTACAAGAGAGGCGAGGACGTGATTGAGGTGCTCGGCCACTTCTGTAGTTTAGAAAGAACAGAAACAAAGTTCTGCAGACGGACTTTGGGTGTTTGAAGGGGAGCTGATGGAGTTTGCTGAGCACATCAAGACGGCCAATGTGGAGGATGTTGTGCTCCGACAGCCGCTGCAACCCCCGAGCAGAGGAACCCTGTGCATCACCGGCCACCACCTGCTCTTCTCGGACAGGGAGGAGAGTGACTCCCGGCAGGTTTTATTGCTCCTTAGGAACATCGATGCCATTGAGAAAAGGTGAGGGAGGATTGAGATCAGAAAGGTGATAAGGAACCAGATCAAAAACGTGTCTTATAAGAAAAGTAACGAGTATCCTGCAAGAACAATGTCGCACTTTTCTCTATCTCAATTATTTTTTAATTGATTAAATTGATGATTAAATATTTGATGGTGGACTTGTGATTCTTAGAACTTATTTATTATGATTATAACTCGCATGATCAAACCAGTAATCACACTAATCAACACGAAACGGTGTGAACTTGCCGGTAATTCCTCTGATCTCTCATTCCTTCCTCAAATCTTTTTTAACCAGTGTGGAAAACCTTACGGGCTATTCCGGCTTCTTCTCTAATGCAAGCCACAGTGAAAGGTTGGACATCCTCTGTGTTGCCATGTCATGCTGTGTGCTGCTCTTGATGCAATTCTGAAGAAGTAACATTTCCCAACAAGATTAATGCAACGTTTTTTCCGTTTGCCACCCTCCACATGCTCAGAGCTGTGTACTGCTTGCAACTAACAGCTTTTTTTCTTCGTAGCTCTCTGAAACCTTTTGTTAGGTATTGCCACCCCCCCCCCACACACACACACAACCTACCTGACTCGTTTTGCCCACTTTTTCTGCTGCAAGTCGAGCCTCATGCACCGCCATAGGCAATAAATGGGGCTCTTAGAGGGGGTGCATGTTTTCTTTTGTATAAGAATCATATATTTGTGTGTGTGTGTGTGTGTGTGTGTGTGTGTGTGTGTGTGTGTGTGTGTGTAGGATGTCTGGTTCATCTGGAACAATTACGATGAAGTGTAAAGATCTGCGTGTGCTCCAGCTTGACATCCCAGGCATGGAACAGTGTCTCAACATTGCACAGTCTATCGAGGTACACAACTAATGCAACCTGAAACACACAGGCACAAGAAAATAACTGTTGGTCTTAGAGTAGCCTGCTATTTTTCTGCATATGTTTTTCACTTCTTTGCATGTATCGGTAATCTCTCTTTAACTTTCTGCAGACACTGTCCTGTCTGGACTGCGTGTCCGCAATGTACCCTTTCTTTTACCGACCTGTTGATCTCAGCCTGCCGGAGCAGTGGGGTCTCTCATCTCCTGAAATGCACTACAGTCAGATGAAGGAACTTGTAAGCAACATATAAAACTCTGTATGCTTGTTTTCTGCTGTAGATAATTTAATACTTGTAGACACAGACATTTTTCAGGTAACATTTTCCAATAATGTCCCTACAACCACATGACAGGAAAATGCCAGGGAAGTGTAGGGGTCGGGATTCAGGATATCCTTCTTGCTTAGCTTTCATTTGTTTTCCCCTTAACTTCAGAATGTGTTGCACACAGCTTGAATTCATGTATAACACACCAACGTCTTCCCGTGGGAATGGCATGTTGCTATGGTGAAGGGTCGCAGCTGAGGGCAGCATTTTTGCATGTGTTTTACAGACACAAAATTCCCAGAACATGTAGGATATCTGTGCTTTTAACCAGACCAGCCTGAGTAGTGTTTTTCACCCATGATAAAGTGGCTGGAATTTGCAAGTCCCAATTATTTCTCTCCCACCGACTCTTTCCATCACGACAGGAGCTGAGCTGTTCTGTCTAGTTATAAACTACGAGCTTCAACCATTCTTACAGAGTTTTTAAGAATACCTTTTACAATTTAGGGAACTTGATGATTAAGTTTCTTTGATAAAATTAAGAAAAGTGAGAAAGTTGTTATAGCGGTAAGGCAAACAGAGCTATAGTGATTTAACTTAGCCTGATACATTATAGGAGAATTCTTCAACAGCAATGATGGTGAAAGAAGCGTGACACCTTACTTTGGCGCAGACCGGTGATTTGATGCACGGTTTCTATGGATTTATGTCATTGTGATGTTTCAAATAAGAGTGCAGGGATGTTTTAGGATAGTTGCTGAGTGGCTTCCAGAAGGACTTTAGTTTAGCTTAGTTTACAAAAACATTAGAAGTAGCTGTAAACAGCTGATCTGGCGCCCTGCAAGGGTAAGAATCAGTGAGCTTCAGAAGCAACATTTCTGAAGCTCACTGATTACTATGCTGTCTTTTTTTGATTTTACCTGTTTTTATAGGCAGGCTCCTCTGGTCACCAACCTCACAGTGCCAAAAAGACTTAAAAAGACTTAAAAAGAGACATGCCCCACGTTAGGTTTTGTGCACATTAAGGAAAGCAGATATTCAGTAGAGGTCTTTGAAAAGGAGCTTTCTTTACTTGGGAGAGAGCCGAGCTACTGTTTACAGTACTTATGCTTAAGTAACCAGCTGGTTAGAGTACATTTTTATTTGTTATATTGAGGAAATGGTACCTATTCATGAGGTTAACCGATTAGAATCAAGTTCCACAATTTGGGTTTTCAGGACTGCACCTAATCAGGTGTGGGTACTACTGAGAAAACATGTCCCTAAAAGAGGCCACACAGGAGTGATCCTGCAGTCTGGACATGAAGAAAGGTTCAGATCTCCCTAAAATCATCCCTGAGTTCATCAACTGGAAAACAGTCTGTCCAGCAGTAGTCATGGTCTTTTATTTTTCTTAATCTCTTACTAAGAAATCAAATAAGCCATAATAGGGCAGTTGTTATTAATTAAAGATCCACTAAGGATTAGCTTGGAGCATAAGCACACGCTTTATGCAAAATAAAAATAATGAGACTTTCCTCACCTATGAACTGGACTACTCCCAGTCCAGCTCAGCTCAAAGTCCCCTGTGACTTTAGCAACCGGGAGGTTAGCATGAATAATAACAGGTTACTTGATACTAAAGCTCACATTTTCCTTTATCGCCTTCTCTCTCACTTTTTTTCAGTATGAGAAGTGGAGACTGAGCACCGTGAACAGAGATTACTCGGTTTGTCCCTCCTACCCTCCGGCAGTCATCGTCCCAAAAAGCATAGACGACGACACACTGAAAAAAGCAGCCAAATTCAGACAGGGAGGACGTTTCCCTGTTCTCTGCTACTACCACAAGAAGAACGGCATGGTGAGGTGATTTAGTGTTCACTTTTAGTGTCACGGTTTGTGGCAGAATGGCTAAAAGCAATATAAAATGTCCAAAAAGTCCAAACATGAACAGAAAACATCCGAGGAAACAAACAATCCAACGACTAACACAGGAGAGACAGGGGGACAATATATAGTCGAAGGAAGTGGGAACGGCTGAGGACAAGACACGGGTGAAGAGAATCAAGACACAGGATAAAATATAACTGACTACCAAAATAAAAGAACTGATTTGCTGAACATGGTGAGCTTGACACAGGAGGATAGACCAGTACTCAGAGGAAAGAGAGTGAAACTAACACTCATAAAACCAGTGAACAGAAGAAAACTGTCAGAAAACTGCAACACTTGAAACCAGGAAGCCATAGAGAAACTCATTCGATAATGATACAAAATACAAGAGAGCCAAAATCAAAGCAATCACACGAAAATAAAAGAATTTAAAGTCCCAAATTTAAAAAAACTGTTATGGTTAAGGCTACACATTTGACTGAACATTGTTAACAGGATGAAAAATGTTGTAGGTCATCATGCGCAGCAGTCAGCCGCTGCTAGGAGCCAATAGGAAGCGCTGCAAGGAAGATGAGCTGCTCCTCCAGGCTGTGATTGAGGGTTCGGACAAAGGCTACATAATTGACACTCGCTCCATGCAGCAGGCTCAACAGGCCAGGATGACAGGTGGAGGGTTTGAGTCGAAATCGTTCTACGACCGCTGGAAGAGATTTCACAGACAGATGGAAAGGTGTGTTTGCTGACTGTCTGATAATACTGATTTGTCAAACTTGCTTCGCTACACACTGCCTCATATGTGTGCAGGGGTAAAGCTCTCCAGGAGAGCCTAATTAAACTGGTGGAGGCTTGTGGTGATGAGTCCAACAACATGGACCGCTGGCTCAGTAAGCTGGAGAATTCAAAGTGGCTGTCGCACGTCCAAAATGCTCTTTCTACTGCCGGCCTGCTGGTGGAGTGTGTGGAGAGGTATGAATAACACCCACACTCTTATGACTTGGAAAACTTTATGGTAATATCTTGTGACTAATTCAATTTTATCTGGAAAGTACCAATTTACAGCAACTCCCATCTCAATGTGCTTTTTATTGTAAAGACTCTATAATATTAGAGAGAAAACCCACCGAGGATCAGCACTTTGTGACAGTGGGGAGGAAGAAATTACTTTTAACAGGAACAGAGCTCGGACATAATCAGGATCAGGGACAGGCAGCTATCTGCCTTGACTGCTCTAACTCTAAGCTTAGTCTTTAAACTTTCCTTTTTGCTAAAGCATATAGTTAGGGCTGGATCAGGTGACCCTGAATCCTCCCTTAGTTATGCTGCAATAAGTGTAAGCTGCTGGGGGATTCCCATGATGCACTGGGCTTTTCTTCTTCACTCACTGTGTTAATAGACCTCTCTGCACTGAATAATACTTGTTATTAATCTCTTTCTCTCTTCCACATTATGTCTTTATCCTGTTTTTCTTCTCTCTCCTCAACCAATCACAGCAGATGGCCCCGCCCCTCCCTCAGCCTGGTTCTGTTGGAGGTTTCTTCCTGTTAAAAGGGAGTTTTTCCTTCCCACTGTCGCCAAAGTGCTTGCTCATACGGGGTCATGTGATTGTTTGGCTTTTCTCTGTATGTATTATTGTAGGGTCTACCTTACAGTACAAAGCGCCCTGAGGTGACTGTTGTTTTGATTTGGCGCTCTATAAGTAAAATTGAATTGAATTGAATGTAGACACAAGGAAGTGAGGGCAAGTCAACAACCACTTGTTTTAAATCTTGAAGAAACAGAAAGAAGGCCATAACTGTCTTCCTTACACACAGGTTTGTTTTTCTTGTACATGTTAATGAGTGTTGTTTCTTCCAGGGATGGCCATTCTGTTCTTGTTCACGGCTCTGAAGGGACAGACTGCTCTTTGCTCATCAGCACTCTGGCTCAGCTCATCATGGATCCATGCTGCCGCACAGTGGAGGGCTTCTTGGGACTGCTGGAGAGAGAGTGGATACAGGCGCGTGCCAGGTTTTAAGTCGGGGAGGATTACAAAGAATTTTAAATGTCTTTTTTTCTTGATTTGCTCCCATAAATGTTGTCGAGAATCCAAAGAAATGCATTGTAACATCGGGGATCTCTGTCTACTTCTGACACGAGTTTCCAAACAAGCGGTGAGCTTTTAAAAATAGAAGCACACCCAGCGACTACAGGACTGAGCCTATCTGTTGCCACAAAATTAGATCCTAAAAGCTGACACGTGTTTGTGTGTTTGCAGGCAGGACACCCGTTCCAGCAGCGATGCGCTCACTCAGCTTACTCCCATGCTCGTCTCCAGCAGGAGTCTCCGGTGTTCCTGCTGCTGCTGGACTGCGTGTGGCAGCTTTGGCGGCAGTTCCCCTTGGCTCTGGGCTTCTCTGAGGCGCTGCTCCTGCGACTGGCGACTGAAGTTTATGCCTCGGATTATGGCACCTTTCTGTGTAACAGTGATCAGGAAAGGTCAGTTTTTTCTACATATTTAAAGATTGCTGCCGAGTGTCTTCATTTCAAACTAAGATTCACACTTTGTTTGCCCTTCAATCAGGTGTGCCTTGGAAGTAAAGGAAAGGACTCACTGCTTGTTCCGGGCTCTGCTAAGGCCCACGGAGAGGGATTACTACTCTAACCCCCTGTATGAACGCACTGAGCTAGCAATCTGGCCCTCAGTTCATCCTCAGTCCCTGCAGCTCTGGAAAGGTGAGCTTTGCCCTGCACTTGTTTTCAGACCTCATCTTTTTTAGCCTTTAATGTAATTGCAGTGTTGCTGTTCTGAGCTTATGTTGTTACCGCTTTAGTTTAGTTTAAGTGTTGGTGCTCACTCTGCCCCGCTGTCTAACCCTCAGGCTATTTTTTGAGGTGGACCCAGCAGGTTCGTCACCTTGAAGAGGCTCAGGAGGAAATCAGGAACATGGTCATTGAGTGGGGGAAGTTAGCACGCAGCTGATGCCTCGTTCGTGTGAATGAGGTGGGATCACATGGTTCCAAGGAGTTAAAACAAAATACCTGATTTTGATTTGACCTGTCGCCTTCAAGGTTGCCCGCTGGGCACTTCTGGACTGTTTTCGCCCTGGCTGAAACTTGTAGATCACTCTGAACCTGGAAGTCCCATTCTTATTGCACACCATGGATTTAAAAACGTCTATGCCAGTATGATCCAGCTTTTATTAAAGATACTTACCTGTGAAGAGGACAGTGTACCAGACCAAACAGCAGACTCCACAGTGTTCCAGTCAGGTGAGGAGTGTGAGTGCGTTGAAAAGGCAAGACGATCTTCATGTTCCTCCCTTAGAATGATATTCAAGTTGTAGGCTCACGATTTTAGATGTGTTCCAACACGCATCACATTCAGAAATGTGCAGGGGGCAGAAGAATTCGATGAGGATTAGACTGACTTGGACAAAACCGTTAGATTTTGGATACATGTCTAAATTCACCTGTTTCACAAAGCTGTGGATACCCATTGTTAGAGATGTTAAGCAGGAAAATGGCACACTGAATTGTAACTAAAATGTTTTTCAAAGAAGGAAAAATCACCAACAGTGAAGCTGTCCAACCACTCAGCTCTGTTTACCGCAGTGGAAAATCTTAGTCTTTTTGAAGACGTGTGAAGACTTGCCTTCAAAACGGCAGTAAAGACGTAACAGTATAGAGTATATGAAGTGTCCCTCCTACCTCAGTCAGACTCAGACCAGTTTAGCAGAACAAACAGAAATGGCTGGCGTCCTCGATGCTTTATATTTAGACAGGATCTTAAAACCGCAGCGGTCCGGAGGTGACACAAACTTGAGAGAAAGATCAGCTAAATTTAAATTAGGTGCTTTTTATTGACAGAGTTGCAGAACTTTGTGATCCTACCTTGTGTGAATTAGAGAAGATGAACCTGATGAATGTTAACAATATGCAATGCCTAATGTGTTTTAATGTACAGTATTTTTTACACTTGCATAAAAGTTTTCTTACAAAAAATGTGGTGCTTGTGTGATTTTAATACACTAGGCTTGTGTTTCGGTCTAGCATTTTCATATATATTTATCCCATATTGTGTTAAATAATGATTGATGTTACTCTGATTTCTCTTTTCTAACCTGTATGCTAAGATAGCCTGACTGCCTTATGACTATAGATTTACATTTACTAGACTGAAGCAGGAGTACCTTTACAGCTCCCCATGCATCACTATGAACAGGCATATTTCACCAACATGTCTAAGTGATTCCTTCAGAACTCTGGAGCTGTTAAATACAGAGGACAAAACTTGCCAAAGCTTTGTTATTTTTCCAGTGTTTAGCATAATTGCAAAGGGATAATGATTTCATGATATGTATTCACTCATAAATATTATGAATAGAAGTCAGCTGTATAACAGACACACCTCCCAGTCCTGTTAAGCTCAGCTAAACACTCTTCACAATGCAAATCCCTGTGCACAGCAAGTCAGCATGTTTGCACACACGTTGCTTTGCACGCTGGAGACTGTAGTCCTGCTCAGTCAGGAGCCACAAGCCCTGGTGATTACACAAAGTGGAGAAGAACCACATAGCCCAGCATGACTTAACGCACCTGCTTATTTATCCAGCTTGACTGGGTGAACTGAAACAGCTCTTATTTTATAGATTAGTTTAGTGGACTAGTTGTGAATTCACTGTTACATCTGCTGCTTGTGGAACAAGAATCATCTGCCTGGGATTCTTTTTCTAAATCATAAGGACACAGGTAATACATTTCCCCCTTTTTTAAAACATTTCGAAACATCTTGTTTGTGTCCAGGTGTCATTCGAGAGATTTTAAAGGGTTTGGTGTAATATATTTGCTCTGCTTAAGTTTGGTGTAACTTTGTCAAGGACTGCTCCTGGACATGAAACCGGGTGTGCGGGTCTGTGTGCCCTCTGCGGCGGTGCTGGGCCTGTTTTGCCGAGGCTGTCTCAGCAGGTCGCGGAGCTGGCCCGGCCGCAGCTTCAGTTCCACCTCCAGGGAGATGAGCAGGTGGAACAGCCAGGACACCAGCCCCCCATCTCCTCAGGAAAACGTGCGCGTGCTCATCACAGGTGATGCAAATTTCCATCCATCATTAACGCACAATAGTTGCTTGTGTGTGACGTCGATGTATTCAGGAAAGGACTTTTCCACAGTTGCCCAAACACTGAGCCTGGGAAGCTGCCATTGTTTTCTACCACTTTCACTGCGCTGCCTCTGTTCTGAATTGTTGTGAGAGAGAATGAGTCGGATCGTTTCCAAGCAGAGCCCCAGTTTCAGATCAAATCAAGTGTAGAAATATGATAATGAAGAATTCGTTTTACTGGAGTATCAGTGTGAAATGCTACAAACATGTGCTGCAGGGTTTTTTGAGTTGTGTTCACTTTGCTCCAACAGCGGGAGCCCATTTTGATTCATCACAATAGAGTGTGTACAGACAGTGCTAGTGAAATAAAAGGGCCAATGGGTGACTGTGGGGAGAATAATAGCCTGCTGTCACTTTTTGTCCTAGGATCAACAAACAAAAAGCTTTATTCATCTGAAAGTGAAAACCAACAACATGGATTTGACTTTTATCGATTTACCAGTCTTCCACAAATACAGATTATCTGTGTGCACAGGTAGAAAGCTAACGCCTGCCTTTGTCTGCAGGTGGGCTTGGGCAGTTAGGTGTGGGACTTGCACAGATGCTGAGGTGAGATTGTAGAAATTCCTGAGTTCTTGAAACTTGCTAAAAGGTTTGAAGTTTAAATATCATCATACTTTTGTTAATGTCTAGAAAACAGTATGGAAGGGACAATGTAATCCTGTCAGACATCAAGAAGCCTCCACCTCACGTTTACGCCAATGGTATGTAAAATCTAATTCAAGTATGCATATTACTTTAAAAGTTACCGATTACTTTACTTTTTTTCTGGCATCACTGTTGTTTTTTAGGCCCGTTTGTATACGCTGATGTTTTGGACTACAAACACCTCCGAGAACTTATTGTAAACAATCGCGTCACTTGGCTGGTCCACTACAGCGCTCTGCTTAGTGCTGTGGGTGAGGCTAATGTGGCTTTGGCACGAAAGATCAACATCACAGGTCTGCTTGAACATGCACATCCTTTACACATAACCAGGTTTTAAGGAACAATCAGGGTTGAACTCGTGCTCTCTTCTTTTCTGCCCATCCAGGCCTACATAATGTGCTGGACTTGGCCTTAGAGAACTGTTTGCGCCTCTTTGTCCCCAGCACTATTGGGGCATTTGGTCCCTCTTCTCCACGTGACCCGGCCCCTGACCTCTGTGTTCAAAGACCTCGAACCATCTACGGCGTGTCTAAAGTGCATGGTGAACTGATGGGGGAGGTAAAATGTTTTTTGTACACGTGCTTACAGAGACGCCTGTGACTCCATTTCATTTTCAATCAGCTTCTCTTTCTTTAGTATCTCCATCATAAATACGGCTTGGACTTCCGCTGCCTGCGTTACCCTGGAGTGATATCAGTTAACACACCTCCTGGTGGTGGAACTACAGGTATTACCTGTGTGTGTTGTGCAAATGTACTCCAATCCATTGGATGTCATAGACTAAGTGCTCCGGACCTCTGTCTTCGCAGACTACGCTGTTCAGATCTTCCATGATGCTCTCAGCACAGGTCACCATGAGTGCTACCTGCGACCCGACACCCGTCTTCCCATGATGCATATCTCTGACTGCCACCGTGCCACGGTAGAGTTCATGCAGGCTCCAGAGTGCCAGCTGTCACTGCGCACCTACAACATAGCTGCCATGAGCTTCACCCCTGAAGAGGTGGCCCAAGAAATCCGCAAGCATCTCCCTCACCTCAAGGTCACCTACAATCCTGACACTGTCCGCCAGACCATTGGTATGGTATCTTTTTGTTTTTAAACCACTGGTTGGACTGATAATAAACCAATATAAAACTAAATTGTCCTTGATGGTTTTTGCAGCAGACAGCTGGCCTGTAAGATTTGATGACACCAATGCCAGGAGAGACTGGGGCTGGGCGCCAGCCTTCGGGCTTGAGGAGTTGGTGTCGGACATGCTCCGCTCCATCCGAGACAAGAGGACCAGCGAGGGTTTGCCAGTCAGCTAGCAAAACCTGCTGCACCAAGACTAACCAATGCCCTACCTACCACTGACTTTTCTTCAGTCTACATTTACCAACAGCACACTTTGTTTTACTTCACTTTTACAAATTGTCAACCAGTATCATCTGTTTGTCTGGAGCATTGCTGCACCGTGCCAGGGACTGATTGTAAAATGGAAATTCTCAGTCATAACCTCTTTATATTCAGTGGAAAGTGAGATGTCAAACACGTGCACACACACACACATGCACACACACAGACACACACACACTTCAGTCTTTTCAGGGAATCAGATGCTGTCAAACCTTCTCTTCATCTTTGTGGTTTTTATTGTTCTCATGGTATAAGCATCACTTTACACATGGGCATGTTGCCTCAGGTGGAACAGAAACATTTCTTAAGCTTTAAAGAGTTTCAGATGTTGATCACATGCATGAGCACACCAGCGTGTTTCAGCGTCTGTTACAATATCTAACACAATATGGACAAGTTCCACGTGTAGAACAACAAATCTGTTGGACATTTTGAATCCAGGATCATCTGGAATGACTGACTCAGTTGACTTTGGACTGTAATGAAAAATCATGTATCCTGGCTGTTTTGTAAAGCACTCTTTTATAATATAGGCTATCAAACGAAACTCACAGTATATACAACCGCACTACCTTTGCCGTGGCACAGAACAGGAAGCCTTTACTTTTTTGCCAGCGGTGTGATTACAAATATGAATGAGTAACAGTATCAAATGAGGCCGTATTTACTTAGGAAAACAATATATTAAAAATGCTGTGTACTTTGAATCAGACCTTTAATAATAAAAATGTTATTTACCCAAAGAGCATTGAATACCGTACGCTGCCAAAGTTTCTTTTTTCTGTGTCGTTTTTGCATCCAAAACACCCGATCAGCTTAAAAACAAGAACGCTATAAAATGAAAAATGTAACTTCTATTTAAGAAATAGTTAAAGTTGTCTCATATGCTTTCATTCTCTAATTTGTTTGAGTAACATATACAAAATTAAGGTATTCACCAGCCACTTTGTTAGGTACACCTGTTCTAAATATCTAACTAGCCAATCACACCGATTAAGGCATGTAGAAACAGTCCAGATAGTCTGCTGGAGTTCAAACCAAGCATATGACTGGGGAAGAAACATGATTTAAGACACTTTAAATTGTTATTTTCAGACTGGCTAGATTTTCCAACACAGCCATTTCTAGGATTTACAGAAGTCTAAAAAAGAGAAAATATCAAGAGAGTGGCCGCTCAGGTGAAAATCTAGCGAACAGGAAGGCAACAGTAAATTAAACAAAACAAAACAAAACAAAAGAAGTTATAACCAAGGTCTGCAGACAAGCATCTCTGAATACACAACACATCAACGCTTGTAGCAGATGGGTAACAACAGCAGAAGACTACACTGAGTCCTACTGGGTGAGTTAAAAACAGGAAACTGAGGCTACAAGTCACACAAGCTCAGCAAATTTGGACAAAATAAGACTGGAAAAGCATTGCGTGGTTGACAAGTCTGGGGGATTACTGCATGTAAACACAACTGGTTCTCTTACAGAAAAAGCAATTAGTCTCAGTTTCAGAAATCTAATTTAATGATCGTCATTATGATGCATGCAAATGTTTAGTATTCTGTAGGAAATGGACCACCAGTTGACAAAAGCAAACTAAAAAAATGTTACTGAAGTTGCTTTGAAGGACAAAAAACTGATAAAAATGTTCAATTATTTCCCCAATTACCACAAGAGTGATGATATAAATGACAGATTACCTCTTATTTTTTATTCCAACATAACACTTGTTTTGCTGCACACAGAATTTTCATGGGAAGCTCTTTAATTTTATCATTTTTTGTTTTTCTCATTTGTTTATCTGAGCATT